AATTGGCATAACATACACAAAACACTGTTCCACCTCCTGCTTTGGTGAGTAGCAACTGGGATCTTAAAAGCTTGCAAGCAGCCATCTAGATGCAACGATGGGTCTCTCCTCATCCAGAGCAAAGAAGAAGGAAGAAAATCAAAGATTCACGGAAACATTTTTTAGTTCTAGCGAGTGTTACACCACGCGATCTGCAGCCTATATGACTATGAGACGAGAAGAACTAGATGGTGTCCCGCTATCACTGTCAACCACTCGGAGGGGGATCTATGTAGGAGATCCTGGAGAGGGAGAACAATGTGGAACAAAACTCAAAATAATTTGAAAAAAAAGAAAAAGGTGGGGGGACCAGTTTTGCTGGTCTGATAGAGCCTAGTGGAACCACTCAGACTATGGCCCCTAGCTTCCCGTCAGGTCTGGAATTGAAACCACACCTGTGGCTTCCAGCCAAACAAGACAGGCATATGAGTTGAACATTTACCTGAAGTAGACACTTTCCTTGGAGACAACAATCATGGGAGAAAGAAGGGCTGTTTATGCACAGGGGGCAGGAGTGTATGGAGGGATGGACACAGGGAAGAGGTAACTACCGGAAGGAAGTGGGAGAGGAGCTGTTGCATAGGAGTAAATTGTAGTCAATGTCATGAGACAAAGTGTATGTAAACTGCTGTATGGAAAGTGAATTTGCTCTGTAAATTTTCACCCCAATCACAATTAAAAAAAAAAAAAATTCAATACTCCTCTCTCTTGTTCACGGTGTCTCTATCTTTCAAAGCTTTTATAGTAAAATGCAGACAAATGGCTCCTTGGAAAAGGAATGAAAAAGACTTAATGTAGGTAAAAGGTTGAAATATGATAGGGTTACATGAATATCATCAATATTCCTTCAGAGGAAGATTAGAAATAATTAGCACCTGTGGAAGACTATCTTCTTCTACAAATAGGAAAAGGGATGTCAACAGCCCTGGGGCAGGGGAGGTGGCAGAAAAGGAGTTGAGGAGATGGTTATCACGGGAAATGTATAAAAAGCAATTCAATTACTCACAAACTTCTTGGTCTTGCAGTCTAACTTTCAACCCTATGGGAGAGTTTTATCACCATTTTAGGACAAGAAGGGCATAATCGCCAGAGAAGTTCTATCCCCCATGAAAAGTGATAAGCAACAGGGCAAGGAGACAGGTTCTTCGGACAGAGAAATACTGGGAAGCAAATGAACACAATGCACGAATGACCCGGGGACCTGTAATCGCAAGGACAAACATCCAAGGGAGTAGGGAAGACAGGGACCAAGTCAGGTAACATTCCTGAGGGGAAGGATTATCAGGTGGCACCGGGCTGAGGGCCCAGATCGGGGACTGGGCGGGAGGAAAGTTAGCAGGTGAAAGGGATCAATCATGAGGAAGGAAGTGACCTTTAAGAGAAGGAAATAAGAGAATACCCAAAAGGGGGGAAGGGTAATAAGAGAATATAAACCCAGGAAAGAACAGGAGGGCAAGATAAAGAAGGCATGTTCGGGTAACAGAGAAAGAAGAAAGGAAGTGGGGCTAGGACAGCAGAGATGGGGCTGAGATACGGCTGGGGCTGCCGGGGCGAAAGGGCAGAGCGTGCCGTCTGGGGAGTGAAGCCCAGAGGCTGTTGGAGCCAGAGCCAGGTGGGACTTCGGGGCTTCCCGATGTCCTGGATGGGAAGGATGACGGGCTGAGGACCTAGCTTAACGAAGAAAGCAGGCGCGGGGGCGGTTCCCGACAGAAGGAAGGGCGCCCCAGGGGTCGGTGGCGGGGATCCCGGGGGTCTGGAAGGCGGTTACAGGGTCGGGTTGAGGGAGTAGGGTGAGAAGGATACTCACAAATTTCTTGGATTTGCCGCCGTCGCCGCCCGCCGCAGGCAGCTCGTCCGGGCTTCGGCCCTTCTTCTTGTCCCGGGTCCCGCGACCGGGCCCCAGGCCCTGGCCAGGCGGGTCCATGTCCCAGTTTGCCCTGGCTGGTGACCCCCGCGCCTACGCCGCTCCCGCCCGGCTGCTCCGCGCCCGCCACCACTGCCGCCGCCCAGCAGCTTCTTAGCCCGCCGCCGCGCCCCGCCTCATTAGCATGCCGGGCTGCGCGCGCCTCATGAATATACAACGACGACGCCTTGCTCCCGCCCGCCTGCCCCACTTCCGCCCGGACCCGCAGCCCCTACCAATAGGACAAGGAAGGAGGGTGGAGGGGAGCCGCTACCTGCCCGACGGGCCTAACCATTCAGACCCACGTGGGGGGGTGGCGAGTAGGCGGTGCAGCAATCCTCGGCCGCAGCCGGTAGCCACGCCCCCTGGCGGATGGAGCGGCGCAGTGCAGGCCTCCCTGATACCACTCAGTGCCCATATGGCTGTCAAGCTTAGACCCCCTCATATACCCCAAATCAGGATATTAATCTCTGAACACAAAAAACGCATCATAAATTTTCTGGCAGAAAATTTAGTGCTGGACTTTCTGGGATAATGGAGTTTTTATATGTGCAATACCTATGTAGTACATTTGGAGGTGGGGAGCTGACAGCTACCATTTATTGAAAGCTATGTACCAAGAATAGGGTTTGGTCCAGGACAAGTGCTAGACTCTGAACCACACTAGCTCTGGAGTTAGATTGGCTCTTTTGTATCCTAGGTTCCACATTTTCTAGTTGTTTCTAATTTGAGCAAACTAGTTATTGCAAACACTGGCCTACACAGTAATAGTCACCACTGACTGTGCACTTGCTACATGCCAGGCACTGTGCAAAACACTCTACCTGTTTTATCAGATGTGTGTTCCCAAGTGTATGCTTTCTTCTTCTAGCGACTCTTTCAGCAACTTCATGTACTCTCCCAGCTACATCTGTGCCTTGTGTGAAAAGTACCTGGCACCCAGTAGGCCCTCACAGTACTGAGTAATCTTGACCACACCTGGCAAAGTATTTCAAATGTAAGTTCCTGGAGGGCAGACAGAGTCAGTGTCTTACTCACTCTGGCGCCCCTAGTGCTTAGTCCTGGTAACAGGGGCTCTGCCAAACTAACTGGTTCTTAAAATCCGGCCTTCATCTCTCTTGTGCTTCAAACCTTCTAATTGCCTGATGGAAAGCTGAATCAACCTGTACAGCCCACACTTCAAACTCAACACGTCCAAAACAAAATTCAAAAGCAGTACTTTCTAAGCTAGGATACTGTGAAACAGGCTCAAAGGAGGGAAGGAGTGACCCACCTATTATTCATCTTTCTTGTATCGATGTCTACTGCTATAACATTTATCAACTGCATATAAATTTCTAACTCCCCTTTCCTGGATTGTACACTCTCCCAGGGAAGGGTCCATGTTTGTGGCTACTGCAATATCTAGGACTGTTCTTCACATAGACCATTAAGATAATGAGTAACTACTTGTCAGGCACTTGGCATGTTTCATCTCAATGTACCTTCATCAACTAGCATTGCTATTCCAAACAATCAGGTTCAAAACCCTGGAGTTGTCTTCTACTTTTATGCTAGCAATCTGCACAGGTTTATCTAACTCTTTACCAGAATGCTCTATTAACTCCCTATATGAGTAGGATAATCCATGTTACACATGTAGAACATATATACAGGGCCTAATGATAAGTAAGGAGCTCTGGTAGTATAGTGCCTAAGGCACTTGACTGCTAACCAGAAGGCTGGCAGTTCAAACCCACCAGCTGCTTCTCGGAAGGAAGGTTGGGCAATCTACTTCCGTAGTGATACTGCCTTGGAAACCCAAGGAAGGGTCACTATGAGTTGGGTCCAATTCGACAGCACGTAACAATAACAATGTTAAATAACTTAATGAATGTTAACTATGAGTTTTATTACATGTGTCTGCTTTCTTATTTCTCCCTCCCTTCATACACGGACAGCTAATGAGAATTAAGAGTATTTCCAGAAAGCAAAAGGTACAAAAAATACCAACTTGATTTATTGGATAAAAACAGTGGTAAAATGAACATAAAACCAAAAATGTTAGAACATGACATATCCATATCCTCCCCTCCCTCAGAACCGCACTTCCCTCTGGTGTTAGGGAGCCAGAATTCTCTGAAAAATTCTCTCTTTACCTGTCCTGGAAGAAAGGCCTGTAGCAGGAAAACTCAGGAGAAGAGGAAATCAGAGGCAATCTCAGTCCTGCCTACCCTTTCAGTCCTAAAAGTCTCTGGTTCGAGGGAAACAGGGAAAGAATAAGAGGGCCAGAGGGGCTGAGGACTGGCCTCTAAGGCCCACTGCCCAAAATGACTCAGGGCAGCTGTCCTTGCCTCCCTCCCCTCCCTTACAGGTACCATTGTCAGGCCTTAGGAGGGAGAGGAAAAGGGAGTGTTGGTTCTAGAACCAGATGTGGGCTCCCAACCCTTCCCCAGAGCTGGTAACAAGCCCTGGGGGCGACCAGTCCAGGAATGCGGAGCCACACCTTCTCTCTCTGCCCAACCAAGAGGTGAAAAGGAATTCCATAGAGCAGAGCATTCCCAGGCTTTCTTAAATTTCCACATCGCTTTCCTTGTCATTATCATGGTCTCCATCATAGAACTCATTGGGTGCCTCTGGCCTACAATGAAAAGGCAGAGAGGTCAGCATTCCACTCTCCTTGTTCCAATCTTCTCCCACAGAAGCATGCTCTCTGTAGCCAATTCTCAGGCCCCCTGTCAGGGAACCACTCCCCTCCTCCTACTGGTAAAGACCCATGGCTATCCATTCATCCATTCATGTACTCAATAAATAATTATTGAGGGATTACTCTGCGCCAGACACTGTCATAGGCCTTAGCAATACAGTAGAAAATAAGCCAGACAGGGTTTCTGCCTACCCTCAAAGAGCAGACCTAGTAAGGAAGAGCAACAATAACAAAGAAAACAAGTAACTATGATAATTTCAGATGGTGGAAAATGCTATGAATAAAATGAAATAAAGTGACATGACTGAGAGCGGTGGAGGAAAAGGATGAAATTTCAAACAGGATGATAAGGAAGGTTTTTCTAAGAAGGGAGGACCGGAAGTCTAAGAAGAATGGAACCAGGTCCTTAAGAGAGCAACATGTGGGCAGTAAGCTGTAAGGAATGAGTAAAATGCTACTGACCTTGGAAGGTAATTTGGCAACAAATATAAAAAATTTCAGTAGGCATAGCCTTTGACCTAGTAGCAACAATTCTATGAACTAATCCACTGAAATACTCAAACAAGCATGCAAAAATAACTATATAAAAGGATGCATTGCCACCTTCTTTGTAATAACGAAAAAATGAAAAATAATCAAAATGTCTATCAATGGTAACCAGTTAGATTATACTATGTCCCCACAATGGTGTACTAGACAGCTGATAAAATAATGAAGTAGATCTATATACATTCATATGGAAAGATACATTGTTTTGCTCTTAAAAAAAAAAAAAAAAAGGCCAATTTTAAGTTATAGAGCAACATGCATAGAACCATCCGACTTGTGTTTAAAATAAAAACAAAAATGCATAACTAACTAACTCTGATAGTTTGTAAGTGTGTTTATATGTGCAGTTAAAATAGTATACTTGTAACCTATATAAAAAGGTAGGTCCAGAAAAATAGAAATCAAACTATGCACAGTATGTATTTCTGTGGAATGAGTTTGGGATGTATGAAAGTAAACTTTACATATTTTGGTGCTGTTTGAAGTTTTACAATGAATATGCCTTACTTTGGTAATAGTCGATAACAAGGGTAAGAAAAGAGTAGGGGAGTTATAGCAGACCAAGGACTAGGAACATTAAAGGAGGAAAGCCAGGAACAATTAAATTGAGCTGATTGACTTTTCCCTCTAAACCCTTCCCAAAAAGCCCGAGGGAATGGACCTGCTGTAGTTCTCCTCAGGACCCCTCTCTTCTGCATCAGCCTCATCAGTCCTGTCATAGGTCAGGAGGTCCGAGGGCACATCATGAATCTGGACACTAGGTGCGTGGTTCAGCATCTTTAGGTTCTCAAAGATTGTCTGGCGGATCTGGTCTAAATACTGGTTCGGGATGAGAAATAGAGCATGAGCAGTCCCCACTGATTCCCAGAACTTCCTCTCTTCTAGACATCTGTCACCCCTACTGTTCTAGTTTTAATCCCAGTGGTTATCTCTAGTTCAAGTCCCCTAGCTGGCGCAGTGCCTAAGGCACTTGACTGTGAACCAGAAGGCTTACGGTTCAGACCCACCAACCACTCTCCAGAAGGAAGGTTGGGCAATCTACTTCCATAAAGACACCACCTCAGAAACCCAAGGAGGGGTCACTATAAGTCAGATCTGACTTGACAGCACTGAGTTTAACTGAGCTGACAAATGTCCCTCCTCCCAACCCCAGTTGCCTCTACTTTAACCTTGGCTGCCTCCTAACTGATAACAGTGATAAGTGATGTTTAGAATTTCCATCTCTTCTCTGCTTTCTTCTACGTCCACAACCTGAACTTTTCCTGGGCTCCCCAACCCTTGTTCTCAACTTCTCTGAGCTACTGACCTGGCGTGAGTTCTGATTCTCAATGCGGGTGCTGACATCTGGGTGCAGCGTGAAGTCTGGGGCAAAGTACTCGAAGTATTCTTGGGGTGGGGAGGTTAGGAAGAAAGGGTATGACTCAGAATGACAGAACAAAGGTCCAAGGAGGGCCCAAGAATCCCCAATCTCTTTCAGTCCCATCCAGACCTCTATCTTTTTCCTGCTCTGAGCCCAAGGGTTTAGTCTGCAGAGCTCTGAGAGAGTCAAACTTTCCATCCACCTTCAAAGCAGTCCATTCTGGGGTCTTGTGAAAATGGGCTCACTGCTGTGGGGGTGTCCTAGGGTGGCCCTTACCACTATAGGGAAGCTCCTCACTAATGGCTTCTTCTACCAGCAGCGACGTCTCGTAAGTCCTAAAAACAACCATTGGGGAGGGGGGCAGGCTGAGCAGGTGAGCTAAAGGGCCCACCAGGCCAGATCTCAGGGAGCCCCTTGCTCACACTGAACAGAGGGGGAGAGGAAAATGCAGTGATGGTGCTCACCAGCAGCGTGCAACATTTCGGACAGTATAGCCACCACCACCCAGCACCAGCAGAGGGATATTGAAGCTCTTGACATATTCAACGCATTCCCTGTTAAAAGGAACCAGAAGAAAGGGTGGAGGAAGTTCTCAAAAGCCTAAGTGTACACCCATAGGTACTGCAAAGGGCACGGGGGAGACTTCTAGGGAGTGAGAAGTGTTCTATATCTCAATCTGGGTGGTGACAGTCAATGAATTACACCCTTAATATTTGTGTGCTTCATTGCATGTGTTATATCTCAAGAAAAAGTTGAGAACAAGTACATCTTTGTCCTGCTCAACACTCTCTGTGGCACCCCAAATGTTAATCAGCTATTCTAATTAACCCACCATTAAGTCCTGTCAGTTATATAGCCTCCAAAATACAACTCAAACCATCTACTTCTCTCCATCCCCACAACCTCACTTTAGCGCAGGCACGCCTCCAGCCTAGACAATGCCAAGTTTCCTAACTAGTCTTCCCACTCCTACGCTTGTTCCCCTTCCCACCAAGCTTTTCTCCATTCAGCAGCCAGAGCAGTGACTTTAAAATACAATCTGGATGTCACTTCCCAGCTTAAAATCCATCAACAGTTTCTTATCATATTTGGAGTATGATTCAAACTCCTTACCAGGAGGGGTTGCCCCTCTAGCTTCCTCTGTGTTCCTGCCTCACTGGTTTTACTTCATCTCCTCCATTACACCAACTCTTCCCTGCCCGGGACAGACTTCTCTCTGTTCCTCTCAGGGCTTGCTCCTTCTTAGCCACCAGGCCTCAGCTCAAATTTTACCTCTTCAGGAAATCCTTTCAACCAGGCTAAAGTAGCTTCCCACTGTTATCCTGCATCTCAGCTTTCTATTTTCTTCCTTCATAGAATTTGTAACAATCTAATTATTTTATTTGCTTTCTTACTTTTTGTCTGTTTCCTACACTAAACTATCAACTCTATGGGAGGAGAGATCTTGTCTGATTGATTTCTCACTGCATCTCCATGTCTGAAATACTATAGGTGCTTCACAAAATCCTGTTATGAATGAATGATCAGCTGCGGAACCCTGTTCAAGGTGAACATTTCTGATTCAAGAACAATTTGCAGCTATTTTTGATTCCCAAAAAGAGGTGAGGCCTATTCCCCAACCACCACCACTCCATGTATTGGGGTCCCAGGCTGCTTGAAAACCTGGGGAATGGAAGGAGGGTAAGGCTCACCCATGTCCTCGGATGCTAAGGTTGAAGCAGCCCAATCGATCACAGCCCAGGGAGTCAGCTCCACACTGCAAAAATCAAGACCCAGACAGCCACACTGAGGTAACGGATCAGAGCACCATGGGTGTCCTTCACGCCCCTCCCCAGCGAGGACAGAGAGTAATCTTCTCACTCTCTCCCCTCAAGCCCAGGCAGAGCTCTCCTACAGGGAAATGACAGCATTACCTGGAGCACAATGCATGTGGGTTGGTAGAAGTCCACTACTTGATTGATAACCGGCTGGAAAAGATGCTTGTAACCTGGGAGAAGGCCAAAGATGGGCACCTGGCACCCCAAGGGGATGGGGAGACAGGGAACAAAAGGAAAAAGGGGGTTGAGAGAACACGTAGCTAAGGAAAGAGGCAACCCAAAGAACCAAATTATTTCTGAACTTCTGGTAGGGGTAAACCCCTTTGAGTGACTGATGAAAGCTAGTGACCCTTATCTCAGAAAAATGCACATACACACAGTACGTGGCACACAATTTCCAGGGGGTTCGTGATCTCTTAGAAGGCCCTTCATTCTTAAGGACACCTGGCTCGACAACAGACTATACAAGGCAACAGTTAATTCAAGGAGAGAGAGAAGGGGTAGTTAACAGGAAAAATCTGCAGCACTTACTCTGATCATCGATGCCGTCCCGTAGGGGCACGTTGAGACAGTAGTAGCGACCACTCTCTGCCCCAACTTCATACATGTCACCTACAGGGAAGTGGAGGGTAGAGGGGATGAAAAGACATAATTAAGGGGCACCCACGACCAAGTTGCTCCAATCCCACCCACACTGAGGGTCTCTCATGACACCTACATATTTCCAGACTCCCTAGAGACACTATTTTTTTTTTGAGGACTTACTGTAAATAAAGCACCATCACAATACATACAAAAAGCAGTGAGTACTCTGAGAGAAATAGACAGGATAATGTGGTAGAGTAATGGGGAAAGAAGTGATTACTTTAACTGGGGTGGTCAGGGAAGGCTTCTCTGAGGAGGTGGTCATGGTTGAAAAAAACATGAAGGTTGCAAAGGAAAGAGAAATTCCTATTTCCATACCTGTACCAGGGAAGAAGTAATTTCCGTATTTATGGAAGGACACTGTCATGACCCGGTCAGTAAGGTAGAAGGCTTCTTGGACCCCGTCACCATGGTGGATGTCAATATCAATGTAGAGCACCCGAGGGTGGTACCTGGGGTGAGGGCCCCACCAGAGGATGAGGGAGAGGTGAGCCCCAGGGAGAAAAACCACTCATCACACTCTTCCCAAACATGGGATCTGGAATTATGAAGAGTCTGCTTCAACCCATATCACCTGAAACTTAATCCCACCAATTCCCTAAGGGCAACCCTGGGGCTAGAGCCTGAAGGCAGGAGGCAGGAGGCAGGAGGCAGGGACAGGGGAAGGATGTACAGAGAAGGCTGAAATGTGAGTAGGCAGCCGGGAATCTGCAGCAGAGCGGAAGACACAGCTGAGGAGAGCATCAAGAACTCAGAAGAAGCTAGTCAGGGGGAGGTCAGAGCAGAGTGTGAGGGGCTGCTTCAGCCAGCTGTCTCATCAGCTCCATCTTATCCCAGGTTACTCACTTGAGCAATTCCAGAATCCCAATTACAATGTCGTTGACATAGCAGAAGCCCGAGGCCTATGGCGAGACAGTGGTCTTTTAGAAAGAGGAACAATCCCTCCACCCAGCTGTCCCCCTCTGTCATCCTGACCACCTACCCTAAGGTGGCCACTGTCTTCCCCATCACTTCTTCACTCACCTCAAACTTCTTGGCATGGTGCAGACCACCAGCCCAGTTAATGGCAATATCACAGATCTGCAAGACAAATACCCAACTCACAGTCCTCCTCAGCCCACCCCTAAAGCTGGGAGTCCAAGGTCAAGGCTAAAGCCTTGAGTCCAGAGACCCAGAGAAAAGGGGGAAGAGGACTTGGGGTTACAGTCACCTTGTTGTTCAGCTGGGTTGCTCCTTGCAGAGATGCGCCTGTGTAACGGGAGCAGAACTCAAAGAGCCCGGGAAACACTGGGCTGCAGGGGAGAGGAGCCAGTTGGAACCCTCCTGCATCTGTTCTGCCCCTTCTAACACCTCCCTCTTTAACCCAACGCCCTCCACTCTTCATTCTTCAAGAACTTTCTTATCCCTCTCCAAAGAACTTTCTCATCCCTCTCCTAAACTCCTAAGTTATTTACAAATTTATACAACAAATATTTGTGGTCAAAGCATGTACCAAGCCCTGTGATGTAATAAAAACTTAAGTGGTACCAAACACACATTTAGAGAATAAGAAGGTACATAATGTAGAAAGAACCCTGGTAGCACAACAGTTAAGTGCTCAGCTGCAACCCAAAAGGATGGCCATCTGAACCCACCCAGCAGCTCCATGGGAGAAAATCATCAGCAGCCAGGAATCACTGGCACCTAACAACAGCTTAACAACAATAGCTGTAAGCATTCAGAATAGCGCCCGGCACACAGTAGGCATTACTTAGGTATAACACTTAGGTATGTAAGTCAGTAGTGGTAATAGTAGGTTACCTACTCCCACTGCCATCAAGTCAACTCCGACTCATAGCAACTCTATAGTAAATCTTCACAGAAGCAGACTGCCATATCTTCCTCCCATGGAGTGGCTGGTATTTTTTTTTCCCCCCAATTGTGATTTCGGTGAAAGTTTACAGAGCAAATTCACTTTCCATACAGCAGTTCACATACACTTTGTCTCATGACATTGACTACAATTTACCCCAATGCAACAGCTCCCCTCCCACTTTCTCCTGATAATTACCTCTTCTCTGTGTCCTTCCCTCCATGCACTCCTGCCCCCTGAGCTGTCTCCCTGTGCATAAACAGCCCTTCTTTTTCCCATGATTGTTCTCTCCGAGGAGTGCATCTACCTCAGGTAAATGTTCAACTCATATGCTTGTCTTTTGTTTGGCTGGAAACCACAGGTATGGGTTCAATTCCAGACTTGAAGGGCAGCTAGGGGCCAGTCTCAGGGGTTCCACCAGGCTCTATTAGACCAGCAAACCTGGTCCCTTTTTTTTTTATTTTTCCAAATGATTTTGAGTTTTGTTCCACATTGTTCTCCCTCTCTATCCAGGATCTCCTACATAGATCGCCCTCTGAGTGGTTGACAGCGGTAGCCAGGCACCATCCAGTTCTTCTGGTCTCATAGTTGTATAGGCTGTGGATCGCATGGTGTACCAGTCGCTAGGACTAATTGTTTCCATGAATCTTTGGTTGTCTTCATTATTCTTTACTCTGGACAAGGAGAGACCCATCGTTGCATCTAGATGGCCGCTTCCAAGCTTTTAAGATCCCAGTCACTACCCCCCAAAGTAGGAGGTGGAACAATGTTTTGTATAGTATGTTATGCCAATTGAGCTTGATGTCCCCTGCGACTATGGTCCTGAGCCCACAAGTTCAACTACTTGCTCCCTCTGGGTAGCTGGCCATGACCAAGAAGTGACTACAACCTTGTCCCTTGTCAGCTCTACTATACACCTGGGAATTCTTACATTCTTATAGAATATACAAATACACTTGTAGAACTGCTGTCTGCCAATCCTATACATGGTCTTGGGTATACTCCCTGCTTCATAGATGTATCTAATAGTTCAGCCTGTCCACCCATCTATCCACCCACATACCCATGTTTGCCTTCACTGACAACACAGTACTGTACGTGCAAAAGAGTTTATCTTTGTTGTCTAAACCTCCCATGTACCTCTCTATGTCTTCCTCTTCCTCAATGCCACCATGTTGATCACTCACATTTGGTACATTGCCCTTCTCTTCACCCAAATCAATACTTATCTCTGCCTATCTAACAGTGTTCCCTCCTTCCCCTCCCACTCCTGGTAACCAACAAAGAAAATTTCCTTTCATATATAAACCTTTCCTTGACTTTTACAATAATGGACTAATACAGTATCTGTCCTTCTGTGATTGACGTATTTCACTCAGCATAATGTCCTCCATATGCAAAACACATTATGCGGTGTTTTGCAGATTCTACATTATTCTTTAGGGTTGCAAAGTATTCCGTCATGTGTAAGTACCATAGTTTGGTTATCCATTCCTCAGATGATGGACACCTAGGTTGTTTCCATCCTTTGGCTACTGTAAATAGCGCTGTGATGAACACGGGTGTGCATGTCTGTTCTTTTCATGGCTCTCACTTCTTTAGGATATATACCCAGTAATGGAGTGGCAGGATCAAATGGTATTTCTATTTCCAACTTTTTAAGGAATCACCATACTGCTTTCCACAGTGGTTTTACCATTTTACAGTCCTACCAGCAGTGTATGAGAGTCCCAATCTCTCCACATCCTTGCCAGCATTTGTTATTTTCTGTCTTGTTGAACTCTGCTACTAGTGCTGGGCAAGATAGTATCTCATTGTTGTTTTGCTTTGCATCTCTCTAATGGCTAATGATCGTGAACATTTCTTCATGTTTGTTGGCCACCTGAATATCCTCCTTGGTGAAGTGTCTATTCATGTCTTCTGAGTGGCTGGTAGTTTTGAACCACCAGTCATTCAGTTAGCAGCCAAGTGCCTGTCCACTGTGTCACCAGGGCTCCAGGAATAAGTTGGTATTATTTTGAAATTCAAAGATAAATACCAGAAGAAATAGCTAAAGGAGCAGAAAGTAGCTGCCACTGTAGGGATTTACAGGTAGAAGAGATGGGCCATGACTGCTCCCCCGCCCCTCATTAAAAGCCCTGTCGTACAATTTGACTTTTTATGTTAGATTACTTAAGGAATAATCAAAACAAAAAGAAAATTAAAAAAGGAAGGAAAACCCGACTGTGGTGTAGTAAATTACTTAGTGTGGCTTTTCTACCCATAAGTCTTTGTAAACCCCAAGGTGGGATTTTCTATGAGCAACTGAGGAGCTCCTTTTGCTGAAGCTATCCACCTGGGTTATTTCTGTTGGGCGTGGCACAATACAATGTTCTGGGAAGTTCCTACTCTCTCTCACGTGCTTAGAGTTCTGATGCTGTGATTGGCTAGTTTGACCACCCTTCCGGACTCAAAAGGAGGCCTCCTGGAGGCAGAGCTCTCTCTGACTGCTGATGGAGGAAGACGTGCTGCCGAAAGAGACACGTGCTGCTAGGAAAGAGACGCGAGAGACACGCATTGCTGAGTGAGACACCGAGGGACCAGCACTGCTGGGAAAGAGACTGTGAGAGACTGTTGGCTGAGGGACGTTGGGCTGGGAGAGAGACTGAGCGTTCTTCCTGAACTTGAGTTGTAGCCTGGTGCTTCCCTAATAAACCCCATAATCTGTGAGTTCTGTGTGGCCACTGCAGTGAATTATCGAACCCAGGAGAGAGGTGGTGGGTGCTTTGGGAGGAACGGTTGGTGAAAGGGCTGGAGGGAGGCAGCATGTCTGGCCTTGCAGTAATAGGCCTTGGGTTACTGCTGGTAATCCTGTCTTCCTCTTGTGGGGTTAGAGGAGATCAGAACATGTGGCCTCCTTGCCGTTTTTGCACTGACTCTCATCTGAAGACCAAACAAACACAATTGTAGCTTCAGTTTTAGAGTCTGCTGAATGCAGTGCCAAGTCACCAAGTGGGTACATTTCCTAACTGCACAAAGATCATCTACAGGGCCCCAGCTGCAGCCCAAGGGCTGACTCTGCATTCCCAGACCTATAAAGTAAACTCAGACACAGCAACAACAACAAAAATTAAAAACAAGAAAGCTTCCAAGACAGCAGGTAACTAAACACTGATTGAGCAGTGTAGTGTGTGCAGAGGGACAGAGCTCTATGGGCTGGTGTGATCAAGAAAGGCTTCATGGAGGTGGTGTAAAGGCTGGGAAGGCCTTGGTGAGGCTGAATGGAGAAGAAAGGCCATTCCAGGAAAGCATCCTGAGCAGCAGGATAGAATAAGGTTGGGAAGACACTCAATGCCAGCCTAAGCAGTTGGCCTCTATCCTAAGCCCAGGCTGCTTCTGCTGGTTAGGATCTTTCAAGTAAACAGACTAGTGTAGTGCTTTCAAAACATGGGCTCTAGATCTGAATCCTGCCACCTCTACTGACCAGTTAGGTGACTCAGGGTAAGTTTAGGTAAATCTCCCCCAAACTTCATTTTACTCATGTGTAACATCAGGGAAAGGACTACTACACCACAGGGCTGGCATGAGAATTAAGCAGCTTCCCTCAGCATAGTACCTAGCAGAGTAAGCACTCAATAAATGGCAGCTGTTGGAAGAAACTCCACAGGACCAACCACCTGGTTTCTTCAAGGAACATATTCAAGGGAGAGAGAGGAAAGCTACAGATTAAGTCTTAAGAGACATGTCAACCAAAGACAATGGGAGCACTTTAGTTAGATCATCCTGATTTAAACAAACTTACTGGGGGAGGGGGGCTGGAATTATGAGACAACTAGAGAAAGTGGAATACTGACTACGTTTGATGTTAAGGAATTACTGTTCATTTTTTAGGTGTGATGATGATATTGTGGTTATAGTTTTTTAAAAAAGGAATACCATTTAAAGATACAAAATAGGATTTGCTTTAAAATAACCTAACCTGAGGAGGTATAGATAAGATTGCCTATGTGTTCATAATTGCTGAAGATATGTGATGGATATAGGGAATTCCCTGCACTATTCTTTTAGAAATGTTGAAATTTTCCCTAAATTTAGAAATATAAAATTGAGTAAGTGGTAGTAGCTGTTAGGGTTTTTTACAGATATATCCCAGAATGTAAACTAGGATTGTGCCCATTCCCTGAGTCTTCTACTTATGTGCAAGTTCACCGTAAACCTGTGCACGTAAAATCACCCTCCTTACTTTTAAAATCACTTTGGTAGCTTCCTTCTAAAGAAAAGAACATTGCCACTGAGTTGACTCTGATTCATAGTAGCCCTAGAGGACAGAGAACTGTCCCATACTGTTTCTAAGACTGTAATTGCGATGGAAGCAGCCTGCCCAGTCTTCTTCCCACTGAGTGGCTGCTGGGTTTGAACCATCGACCTTTTGGTTAGCAGAACTTTCAGTTAGCAGTCAAGTGCTTGACCCACTGCACCACCAGGGCTCCTCTCTACACGATAAGGCCACTTCAGAGGTCGGGCCACGTCTATCTCTTTAGCCTCAATTCAGATCACTCTCTTCATATTTGGCACTCTGCCATTTTTCTGTTTCTCAAATGAGTCATACTCTATCTTACCACAAACCTTTAGCATATGTAGTCTCCACTGCCCACTACATACTCCCCTCTTCGTTCCATCTACCCAATCACCTTTCACCTAATCACCTCCTATTCTTTTTTCAGATTTCAGCTCGTTAGTTATTCTAGGAAGCCTTCCCTGACCAGCCTGTCCCTAAACTAGATCATTGTCTCAATTACATACTCTCAGTTTATCATGTACCTCTCCCTTCATAGGACTTGGCACAACCACAATATTATATTTATTTGTAGATTAGATGATTACTCTCCCCACTAGACTGTAGGCTTCATAATGATTACCCAGCTCCACCCCCTAGCTTTTGTTGTTGTTGTCCATCACTGTTTTCACTAGCACTTAGCACTAGGTCTGGCCCATAGCAAATGATCAACAAGTATCTGTTGAATAAACAAATGAGATGATGATGATTCACTCATAAGCAGCCTCCTCTTGGTTCCCACTGCTGTTGTCACAAGACCACATTCAAGTATTTCCCTCTCTCGAAGTACCTAGCAACAAAAGTCCCAGTCCTGTCCTCACCAGTCATCACCCACGTTGAAGGCATTAAGGCTCTTTGTGAAGCCTTGCATATTGGTGGGGCTGACTCTCTGCAGGAAGTCAATGTAGTCCTCAGAGTGGAAGCGGCACATGTCATGCTGAGAGGCCTGGTATGGCTTGAAAACCTCGAGACAGAAACACAAGATGAACCCAGGCAGGGTCAGCCCCATGAGACTGCTCATGCTGAACCCAACCCTGAGGATTGTTCAGAACCACATGTGGCAGTCCCCACACCATGCCAATCCTTGTTAATCTATGAGGCAAAGGTCAGCCTGAGCCTAAAGAAAAGAGGCTTCAGTTAGCCAAGACAGTCCTTTGAAGACCACTGGGCTTGCTTCCTCCTTCTCACTTCCAGCTCAGCCTCTCCCGCCTTCTCAACCTTGAGCCTTGATCAGTCTGCCCTATACCCCAAGTCCCCTATTCTTAGTTTTCTCCACACTCATCTCCTCCTTGAGTTCTTCTTCATTCTAGAGTCAAATAATATGGGATAAACGATAACCTTTTGATTAAAACCTAGGGGCTAAACCAGAGATTTAGTATCTTTTGGGGAGTTCATTGCCTCTTTGGGAATTGGGCAAAAACCATGGAGTTTTTCCCTCCCCAGAAAATGCACACAGGTATATAGAGGCAAACGATTTCAGGAAATTGATTGATTCATGCATTAACATCATTTCAGTCTTTTCTATGGCAAAGCCACTTGTCTGTGCCTCAGCACAAACAATGGACACTCATTCAGATTGTTGACCAATTCTCCTCACAGTGCATAAGGGTTGGGCCTGTTGTTAATTCCAAATCACAGCTATAACTTCCAAGCTGGGGCAGCATGTGTATGCCTAGGAGATGAAGGTTTGAGTAGTGATGGAAGTACAACCAGGTATGGGTATTCTAGGTTGGAAAAGGAATACTCAAGTTATCTCCTGTCCCCTTCCACACCCACATAAACATTCATACCCAGGGCTGCTGGGTCCTCCCACTAGAGCTCTAGCATATTCGAGGCAGAAAGAAGAGATGAAGAGAAGGGGTGGGAACTGAGGATAAACCCCACACACCCGTACAGTGGTCCAGCCCCTTCCTCATCCTTGAGGTCACAGCACTAAGGACCTGGGGATGAAAGACATCCAATTTTCAAACCAGCCCCACCCCACCATATACTCCTAGACTAAGGCCTAGTTCACCTGCGGTCAAAGGGTGGCTGACCTGAAGTGAAAAACTAATTCCCATTAATCCCATCCTCAATACTCTGGAGGTGGCGAGGGGCTGCTCCACATACCTTCTATCCAGTCACTGCCACCCTTTTCATATACAGATCGCACCTGAAGTGTTCAGTCCAGCCCACATAGTTCGCCCCACCCCTAACACCCAGCAGAAGCAGCGGGACTCACGATCATCTTCTTATAGAGTCCGTAGTGCAGAACCAGACTATGGGTCAATGCTAGGCGATGGGGTTTCATAGGGTGTCCAGCCCCTGGGGGTGGGGAGAAGAGAGTTTGTCAGTTTCCACCCCTGGAGTTGTAGCCCCTGCCTTGAAACCTCTGCCTCCCGAAATTCCTCACGAACAACTCTGATCTCTCACCATAGTGGAAATTGCCCACGTCCGGGTCGTAGAAATAGGCCACGGTCTTCGCCATGGTGACGGCGGGACCAGGCCCCGTGCCTCTGCCGCCAGCCGGGCCGCCAGCCCCACCCCCGGTCGTGCGTACTGCGTAAGCACGTAGCCCGCCTCTGCGGAACCTGGAGGTCCAGGTCCCGCCTCTGCGAGACCACGCCCGGGTCACGCCCCCTGCGGGGATTCAGCCCCTCCCCCGGCCTGGCCGGCGGTTGAGGCTTTGCGGAGACTGCGTCCTGCTTGGGCGCAGGATGACTACAGTCGGTCCTAACGTGGGAGGGTCATTTCCTCCTCGGCGGGGTCAAATCCTCGGGGAACCGAGCCACCCGTCCAGTTTGCTGCCCCAAAAGGGAGTGCAGGCTGTGATCTCCGCGCCCACCTTGCTAGGAGGCTCCGGAGAACCGGCCACGCCGCCACTCTCGGGTGCAGAAAACCGACTTCAACCTGCCCAGTAGGGAGATCCCTGGCTCTCTGCTCGGCTGGGGCATCTGTGGGCAGGAGTCTCTTTAGGCGTGCAGGGTAGAGTAGTGCAGAGCACTTCGCGGGGCTGGACCGCCTGTCCTTCCCAACCGGACCCAGACCGCGCCGCACTCCCCCCGAAGGGGGGCCAGCGCAGTCACGCGCGCACAGCTCACGCTCTCCGCCCCGCACACCTGCGCGCTCCGCCCCCTGGTCCCGGGCCGGCGGCGGGCAAAGGCATTTGGGAACCCAGGGGCGGCTGCGGCGGCACCTCCCACCCCCTTTCCTTCCCAGGGCCAGAGTTGTCCGGAGCCGGCGGTCGCTCCTAACCAGCTCACATCCCTCTCCATCCTTCCCTCCCCCCGCCTGCCGCGGCACCGGTAGCCGCAGCCGCAGCCCAAAGCCGGTGAGGCGGCGAAGGGGGGAGGGGGAGGAAGCAAGGGATGATCGCCGGGAGGGCGTCGGGGGCCCTGAGCCGGACTAGGACACCCCTGGAGCCGAAACTCGAGCCGGAGTCAGAACAGAACCACCGGTACTGGGTGGGCCAGGTGGTCAGGGTGGAAGGAGCCAGATAAGGGAGGGTGCGTGATAGAAGGCAGGGGAGGGGGCTGCAGAGGCCTGGCCCAGGCCGGCGCGGAGGAGGTGCGGACGCTGACTCAGGCACAACTCCTGCGCCCGCTGCCTGAGAATGCTGTCCCATCTTGCGCTGCAGTGTCCTTGGGAGGGACGGAAGCGCCGGGACAAGCTGGAGAGGGGAAAGCTCCGGGCGTCGGGGAAGTGGGACCAGGGTCGTGAAAGAAGACTTGCGCAGCCACTGTCTGGCTCCCGGCCCCGGGCCGCTCTTGGCGGACCAGCACCGCTGGCTCGGACAGCTCCCCAGTTGGGTAGTGGGTGGGGCCGGACTTCGGAGGCTTGCCAATTTGGGATCCTGAGCACAGCATCCCTGCCCCTCTCCATCATCCCCAGCTGTAGCCCCCTCCCCCCAGGAGGCGCCCTGGCCCGCTTTCGCCCCCCAGGGCCTCATGTCGGAACCACAGCCTGACCTGGAGCCGCCCCAGCATGGGCTGTACATGCTCTTCCTGCTTGTGTTGGTCTTCTTCCTCATGGGCCTCGTAGGCTTCATGATCTGCCACGTGCTCAAGAAGAAGGGCTACCGCTGTCGCACCTCGAGGGGCTCGGAGCCTGACGACGCCCAGCTCCAGCCCCGTGAGTCAGAAGCCTGGAACCCTGGCTCAGTCATCATTCTCTCTTACCCCTCCCCACACCATTTTCTCCTTGCCCTGGCCAACAGACCTAGATCCAATCCCTGTCAAGCCTGCAGGAGGCCTAATGATGCTTCCTTGAGTCAGCAAGTGGGGTGACACCACCCTGAAGGCAAGCTAAAGGAGGCAACACAGGCAGGAAGGACTTAGGCTCCCATTGACATCCCCGTCTTCCCTGACCTGGCCCCTGAAACACTAAAGTCCATCATGATAGCAAATAGATAAAGGGGTATGTCATGAGCAGTAAGCCACAGGAGCCACCAGGTAATGCCCCACCCCCTTCAAAAGCTGCTTCATTTCCTACTTCTCAAACTCTTTTATCCTTCAGCTGAGGATGATGACATGAATGAGGACACAGTAGAAAGGATTGTTCGCTGCATCATCCAAAATGAAGGTGGGTGTGGGATGGCTCCTTGCCACTCCCCTCTTTCTCTTGCCCTGACCTTCACTAATTCTGTCTTTTCCTTCTCCCCTCAGCCAATGCTGAGGCCTTGAAGGAGATGCTGGGGGACAGTGAAGGAGAAGGAACAGTACAGCTGTCCAGGTGAGCTGGAAATAAGGTCCAGCATGGCTTCGGTTGCCTTATAGAGTGCCCTCTCTTCCAGCACAATCCTCTCCCAATCTCCGAGTGATGTGTGTGTGTGTGTGGGGGGGGGGGTGTGGATAAGAAGGGTGTTTCACCTATAGAAAGCAAGAAATTTTGTAGAAAGCTGGAGTCCTTGAAACCCTATCTCCCACCTGGGTATCATCAAGATTAACATTCAGCCCTAGTGCCATTCCTTTGGGTTAAGTATTGTCCTCTTTTTAACAAGAGAAGGAGAACAAACAGTCACTGACATCTTACTATTCAGTTTATTAGACAAAGACAAGGAAAGAATGTTGGGGTCTTGGGAAAGTAGAGTATCTGGGGGTTTAAGGAGCATGCTAAAAAAAAAACTATGGAGAAATGGAACAGAAGGGAGATGAGAATGTCATCCCTGAATTACTCCTCCCCACTGTCCAGTGTGGATGCCACCTCCAGCCTGCAAGATGGAGCCCCCTCCCACCATCACACAGTGCACCTGGGCTCTGCAGCCCCTTGCATCCATTGCAGCCGCAGCAAGAGGCCCCCACTTGTCCGTCAGGGCCGCTCCAAGGAAGGAAAGAGCCGCCCCCGGCCTGGGGAGACCACCGTGTTCTCTGTGGGCAGGTGGGGACACAGTGCTCCAGGGAAACGGAGGTTGAGGTGGGGTCCCCAGCAATCAGGCATCTAACTCCAAAGGTGGGCCTGGTGGGACTCCGTGCAGGACCCTTGAAGGGCCCTGGCTCTTTCTGCCTGGACTGAGACCTGCAACAGGAGTCAGGCTGCACAGTATGCCCCACAGTCTGAAAAGGCTTCCCCTGCCCAGGCCAGAAGGAAGTGGCTATCGCATCCAGGATGTCCCTGATTGGAGGGGAGGGCAAGAAACCTCTGAGTTGTGGTCCTAAGCCCCAGTGTTCCCTCTCCTCCCAGGTTTCGGGTGACACACATTGAGAAACGCCATGGGCTACATGAGCATCGTGATGGTTCCCCCACAGACAGGAGCTGGGGCTCTGGTGGGGGGCAGGACCCAGGAGGCAGTCAGGGATCTGGGGGAGGGCAGTCCAGGACAGGGATGCCTACCATGGAGAGGCCACTTCCTGAGAGGCCACAGCCCCAGTCCCTAGTCAGCCCTCCAGTGCAGAATGGAGGACTCAGGGACAGCAGCATAGTCCCTCATGCACTTGAGGGGAACCCTGGAGCCTCTGCAGAGCCAGTGCTGGGGGCCGGAGGCAGAGGCCCAAGTCCAGGGCTGCCCAGTCAAGAGACAAACGGACAGCCAACCAAACCGGACACCTCAGATCACCAGGTATGATAACGTGACCAGGGCTGCAGAGGGACATGGTGGGCTGAGCTCTTATTGTCCCCTACTCTGGGGACTCCTATTTTTCCATTGTTGACCTCTCCCCTTTCCCTCAGGTATCCCCACCTTGGGGAGCAGAGAGTGTGTGAGGTAAGTCAGCCTGGGTCCCAAAGCAGGGAATCTTGTCCTTCCATCCCCTACTCAAGCCCATCAGCTCCATGAATCCCCAGGGTGAACTATATAGGCTTTACCCTTTCCTACAAATGCCTTGGTTTGGTGGTAGGGCATGGGCATATGCTCCCGAGGGCAGATTCTGGAACCTGGAAGTGAAAGGGTCCTGTGCCACCAAGAAAAAGCTGGGACAGAGCTTAAGTAGGAGGCAACATTGTTATCCTCCCTCTCTTCCAAGCCTCATTCTTCGCTGCTGCTGAATGGACTACCAGCTGGCAGAGCCAGGGGTGGGTGGGCACGAAGCCCCTCCTCTCCACTGGACAGCACTGCCCCCAGCTGAGGGACCAGCCTTACTTCCACCTGGAATTGCACGGCCTCGAGCTGGGGGATCTTGGGAGAAGTACCCCCCAACATGTCCCTCAGTCTCTTCTCTTCCCCTTGCCTGCCAACAGGTTGCCTGATCCGCCTTCCCTAACACCTTGTTCCACATGCTAGAGAGTGGCAGCTGGGAGCAGGCCCCTGCCTCTGGTGGGCCCCTAAAGCAATAGCACCTTAGGCTCCTGCCCTCTTGGCACAAGAGGCCCAGACCTTGGCTTGGGCTTCCTGCCCTTTATTCACTGTCAATAAATCCGCTCAGACCATTACAGCTGCTTTTGCATATGGCTCCAGCTCCTTCGGATTCCCAGGGACTGTCTCTGTCCCTGCCCCCAGCCCTAGTGGCCCTGGCATCTGGAGTGGGGTGGGGCACAGAGCCAGGGTAGAGACAGAGATAAGCAGAGCCATTCAAAATTTTGAGGGGATGGGTTCCAGCCCCAGGGATAGAAGGGATTCCAGCCTTAGAGATTCCAGCCTTAAAGGGGTAGTTCCAGCCCTAGAGATTGCAGGAGGATAATGAAGAAAAACGAGTGGGTTCCAGCCCTAGAAATGGGGCAGAGTGAAAATGGGAGAGATTCCAGCTTTTGGCTGTGGTGTGCAGGATCACTGAGGGAGCGGTCTCTGACTGTGTGGGGATGGGGCAGCAGCATCACTGAGGGGCAGTGATCCCTGTGGCTCTCAGGTGAGGGGCTCTGGGTGGCCAGGATCCAGGGCTTTAGCTGGTGGAGGAGGTGGTGGACGCATCTGTAGGGAACACAGAGTCATTGCTCCCAAGTAATCTGTTGGGAGTACCCTTGTCCATTCCCTCAGCCTTGAAGAAAAAACAAGACAAACTGGAATGACCCTTCTCCACACAGTCTCCTCCAAGGCAGGAGCCCTTACCGGCCTTATTCGAGGTGCCATCAGGTCCAGGGGTCCAGGGCAGTCTGAGAGTTGGTCTGGAAATAAGAACCACAAGTCAGTCTTCAGTCTTTGTTTTGTTCTCTGCTCTATCCCCAGCACTTAGGCCCATGGCACTCTATAAATATTTGTTGAATTAATGAATAGTCACCAACCTTGGCCATAAAATCCATCAAGTCCATCCATCCTCAACAAACACTGGCACCTGCCGTATAATCAGCCCTGCTCAAGGTTCTAGGTCAGGAGAGGTGGGATATAGCACCCCATCCTCATTGGGTCAGGAACCCATTACATGACACATCAACAAACACAGCAAATGACTGAGTGTTAAATTGTTCCATGTGAACTAGGGGTGCTGGAGAAAGTAGGGCAAAAAATGCTCAGGAGTTACCCAGAGTCAGGAAGGGAGGCTCTGTGGAGAAGGGGGAGGTACCAGGTGGTTTCAGAAAAGGTGGGCATTCCAAGGGGGAAAATGAAGACACAAACCAAGGTGTCTGCAAGATTCAACACTAAGAAACAATTGGGATGAAACAGCTGCTACTTATGTGCTTATGATGTGCCAGGCACAATGCTGTACACTCATGGACATCTTTTTTAACCTTCATAACAACTCAGTGAGGCACAGAAATAAACTGAGGCACAGACTGGTTAAACATCCCACCCCAAGTCACACACTAGGGAGTAATAGAACAGGCTTGGAACCAGTGGGCCTGTCTCTAAAGCCCAAGCTCTCCTTTCATCCTGCTGCAGGGGGCCTGCAGTGGATGGACCTGAGAGTAGGCAGAGGAGCAGAGCATGACTTAGGGATGAGTCCCAAGCTTCTTCCTGTTTCTCACCCTCCCAGGACCCCTGATTCCCTCAACTCACCCCCAGGCAGAACAGGTACAGGAGGCCCATCCAAGGCAGAGGTGGGTGCAGGAGGGGAGAAGCTTGGAGGAGAAGGGGAGGGCAGGGTCTAGGGGTGGGGTGGGCACACAGTTATTCCTGGAATGTGGAAAGGTTTCACCAGCTTTTTCTCTCATCCCACCTTCAACTCCTGTCCCATCACTCCCTGATACAAGAAGTGGCCAAATGCTTATATCTGGGTGGGGGACTGTAGCTGATACATATTTCAATAATCAATATGTATTGAGCACTTATACTATGTCAAGCATTCTGGTAACACTTCACATGCATTAATTCATTCAATCCTTACTATCACCTTATGAGGTATGCATTTCTATGATTCCTATTTCAGAGATGAGACTCAGAGAGGTTAAGCCATCTGTCCAAGATCACACAGTAAGTTTGTGGCAGATTTCCTGGCTATAGCCTAGATCTCCTGACTCTCATACTAATGCTCTTCCTGCTGTATTATAATAATAACCTATTCTCATTGAGTCAATTCCAACTCATAGCAACCCAATAGGACACAACAGAACTGCCCCATTGAGTTTCCAAGGCTTCCATCTTTATGGAAGCAGATTGCCACATCTTTCTCCCATGGAGCAGCTGATGGGTTTGAACTGCCAAACTTTCAGTTAGCATCTGAGCACTTAACTATGGAACCACCAGGGCTCCTTATTATAACAAAAAAACCCATTACTGTTGAGTTGATTCTGACTCATAGTGACACTATAGGACATAACTACCCCATAGGGTTTCCAAGCTTGTAATCTTTATGGAAGCAGACCACATCATCTTTCTTTCATGGATGGCTGTTGGGTTCACACTACTGACTTTTTGGTTAGCACCCAAGCACTTAACCACTACACCACCAGGGCTCCTTTATTATCAAATGGTACCATATTAAAGCCCCTCTTCTGTGTCACTGCATTAAGAGCTTTATCTCTATTAACTCCAATCATGTTAATAAGCCTGCTGAAGTAGGGAGTACCATCCCCATTTTATATGTGAAACAACAAGCTCAAAGATTTTTAAATCACTAGCCAAGGTCACACGATAAGGATTTGAACTCAGATTTCTCCAGCACTAAAGCTAGAGCTCTGAATTACTATGCCAGGCTGCCCTGGTTTCCCTTTCTCTGCCCAGACAAAGGAAGAGGCCCAAGCCACATATGAGGTAAACTTGGGAGAGAAGGTAAACTCAGGAATGGAATGTACAGATGAATATGGCCCTACTAGGGTGGGCGGGTGAACCCAGAGGTGCAGGGATGCAGGGGACCCAGGGGAAAGGAAGCCTTACCTGTTCAGGGTCTGAGGGTTCAAGGGGCCCTGGGGGGCCAAGCAGCTCCTCCACCAGCAGGGAGGGGAAGACCCCAACCTGGCCCCCAAATTCTCCCCTCCAGAAGCCATCATCCACTCCATCCTGGGCCCGGGGCAGCAAACGAATGAGCGCCCCCTCGGGGAAGCTCAGCTCTTCTGCACTCTGTCCTGTGTAACTGTACAGAGCACGGGCCAGGAAGGCTGCAGAAGCCCAAGAGAGATGATAAAGGAAGGAGGTAGGTCGTGGTGCCCCAGGATCACAACACCCCAGAGCCACAATCACTCAGTAATTCTCCACACTTAGGACCCGCTGACCCAGAATTTCCTTTTCTCACCTGTAGGCTCTGCTCCTGAGGGATTGTTGCTGTCATGGCCCCTCTCAGGAAGGGAAAGGTCTGGGAAGTTGAGATATCGCTCAGGGACGAAGCCTATCTCGCCATGCTGGTTCCGAGCCTGCTCACCCAGCAATGTGGACAGATATCAGACTTGCCTCAGCAGTCCGTGGCCCTGGCCCTTCTCCACTCAGGCTTCTAGATTTGCCTGGCTAGGTTCTTGGGGGCCACAGAGAAGTCACTCCCACTGCCCTTCCCCTAGGGTCAGAGTCCTGGGCTCCATACCCACCTTGACCCATTCATCAGCATCTCCTTCCTCTATGACTTCCAGCCATTCACCTTCCTTGATAGTCAGTTCATCTTCATGCCCAGCCTGGGCCCCACAAGGAAAGAATCAGCAGCTGGCTACCCCCAATCCTTACCCTCTGAGATCCCCACTCCCATTCACACCTGATAGCCAAACACCACGTGTGCAGAGCAGGGGAGGGGTCTGGTGGTCAGTGCTGGGGGGACAGGCTCCTCAAATAGCTCCCCCGCCTCCTCACATTCCTCAAAGTCAGAAAGCTCAGCATCTTCAGCCTAGAAGGGGGCACAGAACAGACATAATCCTAGGTCCCACTGTGAAGTATCAGCTGTATCTCCTACTTCTCCATCCTACCCCTAAGGGACACTGGATGTTCCTCCAACATAGCACTGCCCATCTGTTCACCATGTATCACAAACAAAATCACCACAGAGCAGAGTAATACTAACAATATTAACAGTTACAGTAATTGAGCGCTTACCACTTGCCAGCCTCAACGTTAAGTATCTTATGTATATTGTCTCACTTATCTGGTGTAATGTTGCACAACTATTAACTTTACTTTACTTTTGAGGAAACTGAAGCTCAGAAAGGTTAAGTCGCTTTCCAAGATCACACAGCTAGTAAGTGGAGTGGCTGGTGTTCAAACCACTTACAGTCTGCCTCCAGAAGCTTAGTTCTTAATCACCATGCTATACTCATAATAAAAGTTTATTAGAACTCGCTCTGCCAAAAACAAGGCGCTCTGCATGGCTCGGTACTTAAAGCATTTGGCTGCTAACCTAAAGGTCAAACCCACTAGCTGTTCCACAGGAGAAAGATGAGGCAGTCTGCTTCCATAAAGATTTATGGAAACCCTATGGGGCAGTTCTCCTCTGTCCTACATAAGGTCACTATGAATCAGAATTAACTCAATGGCAGTGAGTTTATGCCAGAAACTGCACAAAGCATTATACTTGACTGGTTTCATTTAAGGCTCAGAACAACCCTTTGAGTTAAGCACTATTATGACTCTCACATTATAAGGTCTTCCTTCTACTAGGGAGTTTTACCTTCCTAAGTATTTACGGGTGGGGAGAAGTAGGAACTCACTGTGGGGGAGAGGTCCCTCTGGGACAGCCGAGCCTCACTAACCCGTCGCTCCTGCTCCACTTCCTCCTGGGCCTGGGTCATGGCAGGCTTCAGCCAGCACTGCACGTCCAGGCCAGCCCCCTGCAGCAGAGCCAACCGGGCAGCCCCCTTCACCTGGCTCACCTGGCATGAAGAATGGGAGTCAGTCAAGGATACAGTCTGCTTGGGCCTGCTTCTGGGAGGTAAGTGGAACCTCACCAGCTATATCAGTTCTTTACCTCCCACCTCCCAACCATCAGATAGAGGAATGGGGGGAGCAAAGGCAGGGGGTGAGTACTTTGGTGGTGCCATGGTTAAGCTACTAACTGAAAGGTCAGCAGTTCAAAACCACCAGCTGCTCCAAAGGAAAAAAGACCTGGCAATCTGCTCCTGTGTACATAGTAAGCATTCAAATATTCATCAGTATTTGCTCACATATACAAAAATAGACTAGAAGGGAAGGGGACATTGCCTGAGGAGGTGGGATCTCAGTGGCCCTAACCCTTGGGCTGTGCCTCACCTGTGCTCTCCGGATGCTCTCCCTCACTTCCTGCAGCCGCTGTTCTATGCCTGGAGCCTCCCGCTCCGGAGCCTGCTGCCGCCTCTTCTCCAGCCGCTGTAGCACCTGGTTGGGAAGACGGAGGATGACGTGGGTGGAGATACTATGAAGCAGAGCTTACTATGGGCCTGGCACTTTGCTAGTTGCTTCACATGCATTTTATCATTTAATCTTTTCTATGAGGTAGGTGCTATTAATAATCCTACTTTACTGACAGGAAACTGTGGTCCTGAGAGGTTAAGTCACTCTTCACCTCAGGTTAAAAAATCAGGCTTTCTAGCTCCAAAAACTATGCCCTTAACCACTGTGCCATACTGTTGGCTTAAAATCCCCTCTTCTGCCTGCGTGTAGGCCCAAGACACACCCCACAACTCCAGGATCCCTTCCCTCACATCATCTTGCCTACCCAAATGCCTGTGTTCCCCACCTCACCCAATGCCCGTGGTTCTGGATCTTGTAGTCGCGGGCCGCTCGGCTTGTCCAGCGCTGGACCTCTTTTTCTAGGCCACTGTCCCCAGCTCCCCCCTCCAGCTCCAGAGCACACACCTGAATGGGACATGGGCTGTGAAGAGGATCTGATACCACTCCTCTACTTCCCTTCTTTCCAGTTCCCTCTTTTTTTCTTTCTCTGTTCTAGCTTCTAGGACAGAAAGAGATGGAGACACGTGCCCCTGTCTGTGAACCTAGGTGTGTGCATCTGTGTGGACACACAAGCCCATAGAGCCCCAGAAGTGGGATAAGGGACAGAGTGGAATGAAAAGGACAAGGGCAATGAAGTGACTGAAAGGTGGAAATGAAGAATGTTACTAAGTGCTCCTGGTGGGAGGGAAGGAGCTCTGGTGGTGCAGTGGTTAAAGTATTTGACTGTTAACCAAAAGGTTGGTGGTTTGAACCCACCAGCTGTTCCATGGGAGAAAGATGAGGCAGTCCATGTCTGTAAAGATTTACAGACTTGGAAACCCTATGGAAAAGTTCTACTCTGTTGTATAGGGTTGCTATGAGCCAGAATCAACTCTATGGCAGTGCATTTGGTGGGAGGGAAGTGAACTGCACCTCTCCAAGGTTTAACAGTCACTAAGTTAACACCAGCATCTCTGGGTAGTGCATATGGTTACCACACTCGGCTGCTAACTGGAAGGGTGGTGGTTCAAATCTATGCAGAGATGCCTCAGAAGAAAGGTCTGGTGATGTATCTTTGACAAATCAGCCATTTAAAACCCTATGGAGTACAATTCTACTTTGACACACTCATGGGTCACCATGAGTAGGAGTTGACTTGATAGCAGATGGTTTTAAAGTTAACACCAGGACAAGAGTAATGAAGGAGGAGGCCTGAAGCACACATGACTTGGTTCCAATGAGCACAGTGGTCTCACCTGATCAGTCCCTGCTGGCTGAAACTGCTGAGGTGCAGTGGGGGAAAATACTCCAGGCTCCTGAAGAAAGAGCTTCAGATCCTGCTCCCAGCTTACCTGGGGATTAGAAAAAGCCTGTTATCGTTGGCTTGTTCTTGTTCTCACCAATCCTGTCCCCAGTCCCTCTTGGAAGAAAGAGGACAAGGTGAGAAGAAAAGGGGCAGAAAATGCAGGAGGGTAGCCTATATTGGGAGAGAAAGGTGAAGAAGATCTCTGGGCAGTTCTTACAGGTCACAGCCCTCACCTCAGAGGTTGCTTGTCCCCCTTTGCGGGCATGATCCAGGGCCATCTCTGCAGCTTCCAGCTCAGTGTGGCTTAGTAAGGTCAGGGGGTCCCTCAAGTGTTCCAGCAGCTCACTGACCAGGGCCTGGAGAGAATCCCAAGACACTGACACCATCCTTCCTCCGGGCCTCTGTCGCAAAGCAGGCTCTCTATCCAGGTTTGGATGGATGATGGGCATAAGGTACGGGAAGGAGGGAAGGAGTAAGGCTTTACTGTCATTTCTAACAAAAGGCACTCGTGTGTACAGCAGTTATCAGTTTTAAAACAACTTTCACACCCATTACTCCTTTGAACCCCACTATAGTCTTATATGGCAGAGCAGACATTATCCCTGATGAGGAAACTGAGGTCCACAGGGGTTAAGTGTCTTGGATGATGTCATACAGCCAGCTAGAAGTAGAACCAGGAATGTATCTTCTAATGACTCCAAGCAAGGAAGATCCCTGGAACCACCCAGCTTCATGGGGAGAGGGAAGCAAGATAAGGCCTTCCCCTCCCTCCTCCTAAAGGGCAAGGGTATATGAATTGGGACTGGCCTTGAGCAATGCTGGCAGTTCCTCTTGGTAGTAGTGGTCAAGGTGGGCATTGGTGGCCACCAAGTTAAGCAAGTACTCATTGCGGGCTGCTCTCAGCTGCTGGGAGTAATGCGCAGACTGGACGGACAGCTGGGAATAGGAAACAGGTGTCAGCAGGGAGCCCTGGACCCCAGAGTCCTTCTAAGGCCAGCTCAGAACCCAGATCCAGAATGGATCTTTACTTTATTAAATCCTTCCTATGTGTCTGGCACTACACTAAAAATTTCACATATTCAAAACTCCTGCTTAAAATCCTCTGGTGGCTTCTATACGTGTTGAAAATAAAATCCAAGCTGCTCTTTACCATGGTCTACCAGGTCTATCTATGCTATGGTCTGTCCATGGTCTACCAGGTCCAACATAAGCTGGTCCCTACAACCTCTCTGATCTTTTCACAGTGCTTATCCCATTGATCACAGTGCTCTAGCCCACTGGCCTTCTCTCAGTTCCTTGAGCTTACAAAGTTATTCCCACCTCAAGGCTTTCCTTTGTCTGAGATGTTCTTTCCCTAGATATTTGCATGGCTGGCTCTTTTTTGATACTCAGGCCACAGATGCAGAGGCTTTCCCTCTAAATTACATCCCTACTCTACTACCTTTTACTACAGTATCTTTTGATCTTAATCTGATGTATTTGTGTATTTACTGTCTGTTTTTCCTTCAACCAAGCTGTCAGTTTCCTGAGGGCAGAAACTCCATTGGGAGTATCTTCCACTGTATCCTCGGTGTTTACAATAGTATCTAGTACACAGGAGATCCTCAATAAATACATATTAAAGGAACAAATATAAAAGGTTAAATAAATAAATAAAAGTATTTCCATTTTACAAAGAAAATGAGGCTCAGAATGCTCAGGGAATTTAACCAGGGTCACTCACTCAGGAAGTAAGGGAACCTGGATTCAAACTTAGTCTTCTGAGTTACAAACCACTAGACTCTGACTACCCTCTTTCCCACCCCTGCTGATGCCCTCATCCCCTCGAACCTTGGTGCTGAGTTTCTGGAGACTAGTCCGAGTATGGAAGATCCCATGGTCACTTCGGTTCAGCCTGAGCAGGCAGGGAAGAGGAGTCAGGGTCAGGGTCAGGTTGGCTGTGGTGCCTTGGCTCCACCCTCCACCCCAGCTTTCCTGAATCCCCACCTGGCCTGGACATCAGCTGCCTTCTCCTGTGCCAAAGCCCACACTCGTTCCCGCTGCCCATACAGCTTCCGACTTCGGCTCAGCTCCCGGACAGACTGCAGCACCTCAGACTGCGCTCTTTGGAGGTTATCTGTTCCCTGGGGACATGGACACACCAAGCCCTGACCCAGACCACCTCCAGCCTTGAGCCAGCCCTCCCTTCTCTCCACCCACTGAGCCATACCTTCCTGAGCACCTGCTCCTTGGCACTCCGCCCTGTGCCCCCTGCCAAGTCACGGTATCGGTCTGACGCCTGGAGCCGGGCTTGGCCCCCAGCCACAGTAGCATCCAGCAGGCAGCGCCAGGCACCAAACACTGTCCTGCCCCTCCCCAGAGAAGGTCTGTGTTGATGAGGGGAAGCACCGAAGCTTCAGGAGACCACCTCCCCAACACCATGGGAGACAGAGTGCTTTCCCATCTTCCTTCATCTGGGAGCTCATCAATCGATCAGCCCATTAGCTCAGCCACAAGGCTCACTCATGCCCCCCGCCCCCACCCACAGTGTCCTTGCTAGGTCAGTTCCTTTCCTGCTGCTGTGTCAGCTCTACCTGCTGTTCACATGCCCTCTCCCTTCACTGGGCCTTCATCCCCACAAGCTCCTGGGGCTGCATTCATCATCTTTGCTTGGCCCCTTTAGCCCTCCCTCCATGGCACCCACCTGCTGTCCATCTCCCCGCTCCGGTGCCCCTCCCTCTTCAGGAATGGCCCAGCCAGTTTCTGGAGTGCCTGGTGGGAAAGTCATTACAGACCCAGATCCCTTTTCAAAGACCATCCCCAACTGGGAGAAAAGAAAATCAGACTATAATAATACCATTCATTGAATGATATTATGTGCTACACACTTTGCTAAATGCTTTACATGCATTAACTTATTCAATTCTTACAACAATCCTACATGAAAGTTGTTGTTAGGTGACATTGAGTCAATTCTGATTCATAGTAACCCTATGTACAATAGAACAAAACAGTGCCTGGTTCTGTGCCATCCTCAATTGTTGCTATGTTTGAACCCACTGTTGCAGCCACTGTGTCAATGTGTACATGAAGGTACAATATTATTATTATTATTCCCATTTTACAGAAAAATAAACTGAGGTCAAGAAAAGCTAAATAATTTGTCCAAGGTCACACAACTAATAAGTAGCACAGCAGGGATTTGACACAACAAGCCTGCCTGACTCAAGCATTTGCTTTTGAGCAGAACAGGGGTATATGTGGAAAGATACTGCTGGTGGGGGTAAAAGGAAGGTCCAAAGAAAGGAGTCTCATACCTGCCCATAATCCCGTTCAATGGCTGCCCTCTGCTTGCTGTAGGATCTGTGAAGATTTGGGGGTGGGTTGTGGGGATTACTGTTTGGTGCTGTTTTCCCACCCTCAATCCTCTCCTAGCCTGGGCAGAAGAAAGAAAAATTAGGCCTAGAGTATGACTACACGTGGAGGGAATGGAAATGAAAGAGAGAGAGTCCTTGAGATCACCTCGGGCAGCCGCAACTCAGGCAACCTCACCTCATAGCTCAGAGCCCCAGCAAGATCCTCCACACCCTGCAGGGCCATGTGTGGGCTTGGAGGTGAGGATTCTGATAGGAACCTTCCAGCCTTCCAACAGGTCTGGAAGAGGGAAGGGGGTTCTGCCCTGAGCTTGACTGTGCGTGTGTGGGGTGTGGGGTGAGGGGTGGGGGGGTGGCAGGTGAATTGTGGGGACACGGGGTTTAAGGAAGAGTTCATCTGCGTGTGGGTGGGAGAGTGTAATTCCTATCTGGTCTATGAGGAAGCAAGCCTAGGAAGAGGACCAAGAATGAGCAGGTTAGAGGGCTCTTTACCCCCTTCCCCGGCAGATGTTGGGGATGGGTGGGGCAGTGGGAGTGTGAGTGGGGAATGGGGGCTACCTGATGTCCTCCAGCAGATCTGCCTCCCTCTGCTGCCGAGTCTGAAGGATGCTTAGCTGCTCCAGGAAGCGAAGCTTCACCTCCTGGGCAGGCTTCATCTGAGGAGGGACGGTAAGAGGAGGATGAAGACCCCGGCGGGGGTCTTCCTACTCAGGGAGCGGTGAGGGGGCGGGGCCGGGGAGGGGTAGAGTTGTTTCCTTGGTTACTTTTAGGTTGGGCCCTGATCCCTTCCAACTCCCCGTCCCCCACTCCAAGCCCGGTGCTCCCCCCCCCAGTCCCCTCCACTCCCGCGGCCCGCCAGGACAAGCTCACTTTTCGGGGCGGCGGCTGCATCTCCACTCCGGCCCAGACAGCCACTCGACTCCGGAACTCGAGGAAGCCCCGCCCACGTAGAAGCCCCGCCCCCGACCAGCCCGCGCCCCGCCCACGCCTGGTCCGGCTACGCTCAGGGCGCCGAAGCGCGTGGGGACAGCAGAGGAACTAAATCTCTGTTATTGGTGTGAATACTCCGGAAGGGTCCTAGCCGCCGGACGCACGCCGCGTCCGCGGGGCGGTGGGGGAAACCCCGGACTTCTGAGTCAAGACGCCTGGGTTCTATTTCTAGTAAAGCCGCTGACTCAGTCTGTCATTATTCTTTTCTAATCACTTACTTACATATGCAGATCATCAGTCCAGGATGGACAGAAACTCAATGTGTGAGCAGGGAAACTGAGTCACTGGACACCTGAGCAAAATGTGTCTGACAAAGGGGACAGGGCTGGTCCCAGACATTTTCTCAATTCCCGCTGAACTGGAAAAGCCAGCATGAGCAGGGTGAGAAACTCCTGGAGGCCAGGAGGAAACCAAGCCCAGGGGAAAAGACAGGTACCTCCTAGGATTCAGCAAATACGAAGCAATACCAGCAAGTGGATCTGTGGCGCAGAAATCCCGTCACCTTTAGGATTTGCCTTTCAGGCATCCCAGGATCTACAAGCTCTGGCACTACTCCCTGAGGTCTGCACCCCTTTCGCTTTGCCCAGCCCCTGCCCCTGTCCCCCCAGCATGGAAGCAGCGGTTATGTCTGACCCCAAACTCCAGACTAACACGTTCAACTGCCTACTGATGCTCCACTTGTATATCTAGTAGACACCTTAAACTTTTAAAACAGCTCCTTCAACGTTCTCCCCTCCCAGTTACCCCCGCCCCCCAACACACACACAGGTAATTTATCAAATGGCACCACCTTTCAACCAGTTAGGAAAGTCAGACATCCAGAAGTTTCGTCCTTACTTGTGCCCTTTCTCCTACCTCCACATTCCATCCATCAGCAGGTTCTGTACGTTCTATTTATAAAATAGTGGATCCTGTTGATCCACTTCCCTCATTCTCCAAGACTACCACCCTAGTCCAAGCCCCTATTATCAGTCACTGGTCTAATATCAGGAGTTCTGGTGGTGTAGTGCCTAAGACATTTGACTGCTAACCAGAAGGCTGGCGGTTCAAACCCACCAGCCACTCCTCAGGAGGAAGACTGGGAAATCTACTTCAATAGAGATATTGCCTCAGAAACCTAAGGAGGGATCACTATGAGTTGGTACCAACTCAATGGCAGTACTTTTTTTTAAGATCTCATCACCGCTCAATTGCTTCCCCTTGTACTCAGAATAAAATCCAAATACCAGAGCATGACATACAAGGCTATACATGATTGGGCCCTGCTGAGCAGCTGTAATTACTCTTCCCAGCTCCCCTCACCATGCTCCAGCCTCTCTGTTGTCCCTCCAGTAGGCAAGCCTTCTCCCACTCCAGAAACTTCATGCCAGTGCTTGCCCTTGCCAGAAGCTCCTTTCACTATCAGTTCACACATCCGGCTTCTCACCCTTAATTTCAACTCTTCAGAAGCCTTCCCTGTCCACCCAGTCTAAATGCCACCTCCACAATTACTCTCAAACACATCACTTTGGGTTAGCATTCCACACATTTGTCCATGTATTTGATGTTGTGTGTATTTTCTGTTCCTCCTCTACAGTAGAAGACCTCATTGGTTTTGTTCATACCATGTCCCTTGTATATAGCACAAATTAGGCACTAAATACATATTTGTTGAATGAATGAATTATAGCCTTTTGTTTCCAAAGTTTATTAACAGTGACCCACCCATCCTTTTGTGGATTCTCTTTAATCCAATCCCTGACCCAATCGCCCTCCCCACCCCAGAGCTTCAGTGTAGTCCCAGAATGCAGGACGTGGAGTAGGATGGACTGAAGATCATCCAGACCTCTGGCTTTCAAGCCTTTTATTTAATACAGTAAAACCACTATTTTAAAACCCCAAATCTCTCACAAAACCCCTATATATCAAATATATAAAGCAAGAGCTGTTCTTGTTTTGGGAAAATATGTGAGGCTTACAAGTCTGAGACACACAGTTTGACATTCACTATTCTCCTTATCTCAGTTATCTCATAGTAAATGAGCTGAAGCCTAGAGAAGGGCCATGAACTGTCCTGGGACACAGCCTCCTGAACCCTCAGTCTAGTGCTCCTTCCACAGCAACACAGTGGATTCTGGAGTCTTTCCAGCCAGGGCAGAGGAAGCTCCCAGCAATGTCTTTCATGGTAGGAGCTGGGGTTTTCTGTCTCCTGAGTACCTACCCTCTCAGACTGTTGGTCCTAGGGTCATGTAAGGGGCTGGCTGGAGGATGGACTGGAAGAGCAAGGAGGTTGGGTGGGGAAGCTGGGTGTCTGTGTGGGAAGGCCAGTGGGGCTGGGGGGCTGAGGGCTGGAGGGCTGGGAGCAGTTGCCAAGGCCTGTGGTGGTTTCTCCCTTTCTCAGGATGAGGTTGCTGAGCTCCTGGAGCAGCTGCTCCTCCAGGGACCCATGTGCCTGGGGGCTGCTCTTTGAAGGAGGACCAGGAGGGGGCTCAGGCGGTCTCTCTACCCAGCCCAGGGTGCCTGCCTTGGAAAGAAGGGGTTGATCAAAGGATCTCTGGCTGATGAGGGTCTCTGTCTTTGCTGTACAGTCCTGTGTGGTGGAAGAGGTAGAGGCGTCCTTTGTCAGCTCAGGAAAGGCCCCCACTTCCTCGTACACTGGCTCCTCATACACAGGCTCTTCCAGTTCCTCTTGCTCTTCCACAGACCCCTGGGGTGACTTCATCGGCTGCATGGGTATGGGGCGGCAGGAGGTGGGCATAGAGTTAAAGTTACTGGATCATTAATCACTAACATTAATTGAATGCTTCTGGGTCAGACACTGAAAAATATTTTGCATGTATGCTATTCATAGAACCCTGGGTGGTGGGCTATATTGCAAATTAGTGAACGAGACTCACAGGGTTTCAATAAATTGTCCAAGATCACACTGTGAATAAATGGTAGAGGAGGGGCTTAAACCCACTTAGCCATTTTTCTTCTACTTCTCAGATCTCATGACGACTCCTCCCTTTCCTCACCATAACCTATTCTCCCTCATTTTCCTCATTCTGGCCTCAACTTTATCTGTCTCTTACTCTCTCTATCTCTCTTTCTGTGTCACACACACACACACACACACACCATGTCCTGAAGGATCCTTCCAGGCCTGCATCAGGACAAATACAGAGAGCACACCCAGGATCAGGTAGCACAGAGGAACAGATGGCCTACAGGCACACAGCTGGTGCAGTCACAGTACTCACAAAGAACATGGACAGGGTCCTCCGGTTGTGTAGTCGCCGCTGGGCACAGGTGGAGTGGGAATAGTTGGAGGGAGAGACACAGAGACACAATGAGGCATAGCAACAGGAGGGAGGGGTGGGGGGTGGAAGGGCACAGTGAGCAGAGGGGGCACCAGGCTGGCAGCCACACCATTCCCTGATGCAATGGGCAGGAAGGGGTTGGGACAGGCTCGGGCCTTACCAGAGTCTGATTGGCAGAGAGGAGGGTGGCTCCACTGTCATCCCCACGGATGGGCAACAAGGGCATAGTGCCAAACTTCTGACGGGCAAGGTCAGAGGAGGAACGGCGTCGTAAGACGACTGGCTGCTGATCATCATACTGGTGAGAGGGTGAGGGGTTGGCACAGATGGGCAAGGGGGGAACTGAAGGGTACAGCCAGGCCCCGGGGACCACAGGTCCAGCCCTCAGCCTCCTCCTTCCCCTCACCTGGGCTTTGAGGATGCTGGTAGTCCAGTCCCACATCTCATCCTCATCAGTGCAGGACAGGTAGCTAGAGGTGATCAGAGGGGTTAAGGGGAGGGGACGAGTCACAGCTATAGGGATAGAGGCGGTAAAGAGGGATGAGATGGAGGACAGGGTACAGGGTTGGGCCAGAGGAGAAGCTAGACTATTTGGGGAGGAGGACTCACAGGTGCATCTTCTCCAGTATCAATGTGAAGCCCCACCTAGGAGCAAAGGAGAACAGTTATCCAGTGATCAGCAAGGTCAGAGAGGTGGTAGCAGGAAGGGCCTAGAATGGGCTGGGTAAGAAAACTCACAGTGTTGGAGGCTTTAACTTCTTGCGGATTCCCAGGTAGACCTTGGCACCTTCCAAAGCCCACTCTCGTTCTGGTTTAGAGCTCTGAGAATGTGAACAGAGTCAGTGAGGTTCAGAGGTGAGAGGAAGATCATGGTTAATGAGGTCAAGAAGGCATAGAGTTCTTCTATTATAGCATGCATGAAATTGGAAGATATTATGCTGAATGAAGTATCAACCACAAAAGGACAAATACTGTATGATCTCACTATTATAAAAAGACCAGAATAGGTATACATACTGAAAACAACATTTACTAGTAGCTACCAAGAATAGGTGGAGGTAGGGGAGGAAATCATTCTCTAAATAGTAGATATTTGTTATTTTGGGGATGGGAAATATAACACCAAATGTGGGTGAAGTGTGCACAGCTGTACCAAGGTAAATGATGTCACTAAGAAGTATGCAGGAAAAAAAAGGACCTTTTTGATTCTTCCACATCCTACTTTGGCAAGTAGCAACTGGGATCTTAAAAGCTTGCAAGCAGCCATCTAGATGCAACAGTGGGTCTCTCCTCGTCCAGAGCAAAGAATGAAGAAAACCAAAGATGCATGGAAACAATTAGTCCAAAGGAGTGGTACACCATGCAGTCCTCAGCCTATATGACTATGAGACCAGAAGAACCAGATGGTGCCTGACTACCACTGTCAACAACTTGGAGGGGGATCTATGTAGATCCCGGATAGAGTGGAAGAACAATGTGGATCAAAACTCAAAATCATTTAAAAAAAAAAAAAAAAAAGGGGACTAGGTTTGCCGGTCTGATAGAGCTTGATGGAACCCCTGAGACTATGCCCCAACGGCCCTTCAGGTCTGGAATTGAACCCACTTCTGTGGCTTCCAGCCAAACAAAAGACAGGCATATGAGCTTAACATTTACATAAGGTAGATACACTCCATGAAGAGATCAATCATGGGAGAATAGAAGGGCTATGTATGCACAGGGAGACAACTCAGGGGGGCAGGAGTGCATGGGAGGGAAGGACACAGGGAAGAGGTGGCTATGGGGAGGAAGTGGGAGGAGAGCTGTTGCACTGTGGGAGATTGCAGTCTATGTCATGAGACAAAGTGTATGTGAGCTGCTGTATGGAAGATGAATTTGCTCTGTAAACTTTCACCCAAATCACACACAAAAAAAGATGTTTTTGGTATATGCTGGGACATACACAATGATGCAACAACAACTAAATAAGAGTAATGTGTATGCTTTATAAATATGAATGTATACAAGTGTTTAATTATACATGTGTTTATATAGGGTGCCCACACCTACAGATGTACTGAGGCAGTCTTTGCAGAAGTAAATTGCCCAGTCTTGCTTCCACAGAGTGGCTGGTTGGCTTGAACTACCAACCTTCTGGTTAGCAGTTAGATGCCTTAGTCACTGTGCTACCAGAGCTCCTTACATATGCATATATACTCATATATATAGTAAAGCACACAGGGGCACAAACAGTATTTAAACACCTTACAGGATTGGTTTAAGGGTTCTGAAGGGTTTGGACCATAGTCTCATGGGACAACTTGGTCAACTGGCATAATATAGTACGTAATGTTTACGTTCTACACCCTAGCACTGGGCTCTTAAAAGCTTGCATGCAGCTATCTAAGAACAACTATTGGTCTCTACACATCTGGAGTGAAAGAGAAGGAAACCAAAGACTTAAGAGAAAAAACCAGTCCATGAGACTAGTAGTCTACATAAACCACAATGTCATTTTCTCTGAGACCAGAAGAACTAGCTGGTGCTTGGCTACCACTACCTACCATTCTGATCAGGAACATAATAGAAGGACCCTGAGAGAATGGGAGCAAAATGTGGACCAGAACTCAAATTCTTTAAAAAGTCCAGATTTATTGGACAAGTTGAGACGAGGACTCCTGAGACTACTGGCCTGAGATAACCCTTTATACATTGAACCAAATCTATTCCATGAGTCATCTTTTAGCTAAGTAACAGATTGGCTCATAAAATAAATAATGTCATCTATGAATACTGTGTCCCTTTAAGACATCATCTATATGAAACCAAACGGTCAACACTTACTCTGAAGCAAAGACAAGAAGGCAAGGGGGCAGCAAAACCAGGAAAGGGAACAACCAGAACAAAAACAATGAGAAAATTGACACACTGGGTAAAATATAACCAGTATCACTGAACAAATTGTGTAGAAATTATTAAATGGGAACCTAATTTACTGTGTAAACTTTAATTGAAAACACAATAAAATATTTTAAAAAATGAAACTCTGGGTTGGTGAATCATGGGTTGTGTGATCACAAGGTCAGAGGTGAAGGAGTCAGGGAAGTAATGAGACTGATGAGCGTATAGGCTATGGGATCAGAGGGTCAGTGCAGTCAGGACTCCTCCCATATAGCCACCCAGCATTCCATTCTCTTTGTCCAGGGCTTCACCTTCTTCTCCTTAAGCAGCAGGAGGCAGCGGCCACGCAACAGGAAGAATCTCTCCTGAAAGCGGCTTCCCAGCAATCGGGGTGGCTCCTCACGGCACCGCAACAGCCCTACCCGTGGACTCTCACGCCGGGTACCTGGGCACAGGTGGGAAATGGCAGTGCTTGGTGAAAAGGCCTGAGAGAGAGAGGCCTGTGGGATCCTGGGCTGAGGAAGGATGCTCACCTGTGAAGAGGCAGCCGGCCTGGGCAAGGGAAACTTTTCGCAAGAGCAGGGAAGCTGAGCAGGGCTCCGGGAGCTGGCACCATTGCAGGGCCTGCTCTAGGACCTTTTCCTTGGGGTGCAGTGGCCGCTCTAATGGGTGAGGTGGAGATGAGTATCAACCAGAAACCCACTCACAGCCTAGAGCCCCCAACCTGTCTCCTAGTTAGTTTATCTCTTTCATTCACCTGTTCAACGATCCAGCTAAAGACATTTATTTTAGCACTAACTCTAAGCCAGGTAGTTCTGGTAGCATAGTGCCTAAGGCACTTGACTGCTAACCAGAAGCCTGGTGGTTCAAACCCACCAGCCACTCCTCAGAAGGAAGGTTGGGCAATCTACTTCCTTAGTGATACCGCCTCGGAAACCCAAGGGGGGTCGCTATGAGTCGGGGCCAACTCGACAGCATATAACAACAACAACAACTAAGCCAGGTACTGGACTGGCCCTGGGCAGACAGTGGTGAACACAATGCACATGATTCCTGTTCTCACAAAGCCCACAGCCTAGTGAAGGGGAAGATAGTAAACAGGTAAGCAAACAAAAATAAATGCAGATAAATAACTGCTTTGAAAGAAACAAGAAGCTGAGTGAGAGAAGGTAGCAGGGAAGCCGCTGAGATGGAGTAATCAGGGAAAGCCTTTCAGATGTGGCATTTGAAGGTGAGCCCCACAGACCTGAAAGATTGAGACGAGCAAGCCATAATACGATCAGAGGGAAGAAGTCTTCAGGCACGGCAAAAATGTAAGAACAGAGAACAGGAAAGATGTGTTTGGGGAACTATGGCTAAAGCAGAGAAGATAAAAATAAGAGAACCAGTGATGTGAGATAAGGTCTAAGAAATTGGAGGGCGAAAGGAGAGTGGCAGATATTCAGAGCCTTATAAGTCATGGTAAAAAGTTTGGATTCTATTTTAAGTTCAATGTGAAGCCACTGGGGGGTTTTAACCATGGGAATGGCTTGACCTGGTTTTTGCTTGAGATGTGCATCTGGCTGCTCTGTAGAAAATGGATTGCAGGAACACAAGAATGGAACACTGTCTAGCTACCTTCTGGGGCCATACATTTTAGTGGTACATGTAGAGGGACAAAGATAGAACGGTCACTTTGGCTAGGGTGGTGATGGAAGTGGAGATGGAGAGAAGTGATAAATTCAAATTGAACTGACAGGATTAGTTGGTGAGTTTGGTATGAAGATGAAGGAATGGGAGAAGTCACAAAGAACTCCATGTTTCTGGCTTTAATAACTGGATGGATGGTGGTGCCTTTTACTGAGTTGGCAAAAAAACTCAAGGAAATGGCTTGGGTTTTTTGGTAGGGGAGGGAGTTTGGAATCAAGTTTGGTCTGAGATTGCTTATGAGACATACAAGTGAAGATGTCAAGTGTGCAGCTGGATATGAGTCTGCAGGTCAGAAGAGAGGTCTGGGACAGAGGTAAAAATGTGAGTGTCGGGTTATTTATGCCATTTAAAGCTATGAGACAGGAGACCTGGTGGTAGAGTGGTTAAGCACTTGGCTAGTGGTTTGAACCCACTGGCTGCTCCTTGGGAGAAAGATGAGGCAGTCCACTTCTATAAAGATTTACAGCCTTGGAAACCCTATGGGGCAGTTCTACTCTGTCCTACAGGGTTGCTATGAGTCGGAATTGACTCAATAGCAGTGGGTAGAAAGCTATGAGAATGGATGAACTCATCCAAGGGGAAACAGAGAAGCTAAAAGGGCTCAGGATTGAGTCCAGGGTCTCTCCAACATTTGAACTCTGGGCAAAGGAGGAGGAGAATCCTCCTTTGACCTAGAAGGGAAGCCAAGGACTTCTGGGGTTCACTTAAAACCAAAAGAGAAGATGATTGAGAAAGAGAGAGTGGATCAGTGGTATTGAATGTCCCCTCAAATGGATGAGGACAGGATCCACTGTATTTGGCAACAAAGAAGTTATTGGTGACCTTGACTATACATACACATACACACATGCGTGCACACACACACACAGAGTTATACTCACCAAGCTCCCCATGCTCAAGAATTTCAAATGTCACCCACAAGTCTGTCCCAGCTGCTGTCCCCCTCATCTCCAGTACCTGGTTAGTCAGCTCCTCAGCAGTCAGTGTTGGGGACACCTATGGTCAGGGCAAGAGCATGCTGGTCAGGCCATTGTCTCTGCCCCTCACCATTCTCTCATCTCCTCCAGTCCCTTCAGGACTAACCTTCAGGGTGACACAGTTGTCTGGGAGCTGATGCTCTATATAAACCTCCATGATGAGGTCTCCAGCCTGGGACAACTGAGGGGAGTAAAGAAGCCAGGAGGACACAAGAGGATGCAGAAGATCAAGGTCAAGAAAAAAAGAAAAAGATCAAGGTCAGAAGCTTTCCCATGTTGCCTCATGAGCATGTCCCCCCACAAGGATCTCCTTCCACCTCCCACTGTCAACATCCTTCAAGGCCTTAAAAGGGAAAACAGGGTTGGAGGAGCTGCATCTTTAGGCTGCATACAGTGCTTCTGAGGTAGTACTGCACAGTGGTTGTAAGGGCAAGTTTGGAGTCAGCCTGTCTGAGTTTCAACACTGCCACTCATAATAGTATGACCTTGAATAACTGACTGTAAGCCTAGGTTTCTTTATTTGGAAAAATGGGACTACCAACTTTATACAGTTTTGTGATGCTAAAATAAGATTAAAGGTGCATGGAATATAACAAGTCCTCGGTCAATGTTTCCTATTATATTTATTATTTGTTATTATTTTCACTTCATACAATTGACTCTTCCAGGGATCCCTTGCACTTTGTGGTGGGTGCTTTGCCACCATTTTGTCCAGTCTTCCTTCTGCGGAGTGGCTGGTGGGTTTGAACCACCAGCCTTTTGGTTAGCAGTCAAATGCCTTAGGCTCTACGCCACCATTTTTTAATGAAGAATCATCATGGTGGACTGAATAGAGAGAACCCTAACCCCAACCCCAACCACAGCATTCTCTTTCTTGGATTTCCTGTGTCCCAGACAGCTGAAGGCCAATGCCCTGAGGGCAGTTTGAAGTGGAAGCAACCTCAACTGGGCAGAAAATCAGCTTCCTATCTTGCCACCAGTGGTCAGGACAAGTTACCTGCACATCCTTCCAGGTGGTGATAAGACTGACCTCCAAGTCAATTTGAGCTACCTGGTCAGAGTCAATCTGTGGAAGAGTCAAAAGATAGTGTAAGAGGTGGGTGCTGGGAAAGGAGAGAAGCAGGGGGAGAGCTGCAAGACTCAAAGACTCAAAAACGACTTGTATGAGAAGGTTAAAGGTCAGAAGAGTTAAGAACCAATGGAGTTATGTTAGGATCAATGTTATGAGACAGAGGATCCCAGGGCTCTGGGAGATGGTTCCTGATGCAGAGGTCTTCACATAGCTAGTGCCAGGAGCTTATTGGGGTGAGCAGGATCTAGACTCTCTGGGTCCTGCAGGGGAAGGGGCAGAGGGGCTGCAGGTCAGGGGTCCAGAGAGCCTCACATCAAAGACAGAGACGTAGCCATCGATGAGCTCCTGTAGCACCCGGACCTCGTGCTCCCCCCGGCCATCTGTCTGGAACACGCTGGGCGCAAACAGCAGGGCCAGATTCCGTGTGCACATCTGGTTTAGAGCTGCACACTTCTGCACCCTGCAGAGAGGTGTGAGGGTCACTAGGAGTGCAGCTTGCACTCTCACCTACTCTTCCATGCATCCATATATTCATTCACTCAGCAAAAATTTATTGAGCCCCTACTGTATGCCAGGCCGTGGGCTAAGTGCTTTGAATATACAATATTGGCCTCAAGGGGCTCTCAGTCTAGGGGAGAGATAGAAAAGGGAATTATAAAAATAGAAGGGGTCAGCAACCTTTACAAAGCGACAGAGTAAACACTTGTGGCTTGCACACCGTACAGTGTCTGTTGCAACTCAACTCTGCTGTTGTAGTGTAAAAGGAGACATAGATAAGTCACACATGAATGGGTGTGGTCATGTTGCAGTACAACTTTTCTACAAAAACAGGCAACAGGCTGGATTTGGCCCATAGGCAGTAGTTTGCTAATCCTGAGAACGTAGTGTAATCAGTACAACATCGTCAAGGGCTCACCCCAACATCATATAAAGTCCATCTCCCTAGTATATTGATGAAGGTAGATCTCCATCTTATTCATCTTTGTGTTTCCTGCATCTAACCCTTTAGCTGGCATAGAATAGTCAAACAAAATAATATCGATTGCTAGCCATGTCTGAAGGCTTACTACATGCCAGATGTGTACTAAGAATTTTATAAGGATTCACATTAGATGGATCCTGATAGAAAAAGAGGAAAATATGGAACAGAACTTGAAATTTTCAAAAAAATCCAGACTTAATGGACCCAGTAAAACAGGAGGAATCTGTGAGACTACTGAGCCTTGAACTGAAACAATCCCCTCAAGTCACCTTTTAGCTAAATAGCAGTTAGTTCATAAAGTAATGAGTATCACCCTGGAGCACTGTGCTTTCTTAGAAAAAAACATCTATATGAGACCAAATGGTCAACAAATACTCTAAAGCATAGACAAGATTGAGGAGTTGTGAGACTAGGTTGATGGGAATGGAACAACTAGAACTGAAACAATGTGACTGTTGATACAACTTGAAGAATGTAAACAGTGTCACTGAACTGTAGGGGGAGAAATTGGTGATTGGGAACCTGCTTCACTGTACACTTCCACTGATAATATGATGACATATTGCTTAAAAAAAAGAAAAAAAAGAATTTTACAAGGGTTATCTCATTTAACCCTCATATAACCTATGATGTAGACACTGCTGATTTCATCACCTTCCTTTTGCAATGAGGAAACAGATCTAGAGAGAGCAAATAACTTACCCACAGTCACACAGCTAGAATGTTGGAACCAGATTAAAGCCTAGGTCTGTTTGTCTGACCCTAAAGTCTGTGCCATGAACCTCTGTGCTATAGCCCTTCACCTAACAACTGTCTGTGGAATGAATGAATGAAGGTAAGTGGGGTGTCAGACCAAGGTGACATGGGGTCTGTTAGGGGACCTTCAGGGCATCTGGCCATACTGACCGATAGAGATGTCCAATGAGTGTGGCCAGTGTGCGGCGGTTGACCCGCGGCAGGCAGCCAATCACTTCTTTGTATTTCTCCAGGCGCTGATTCTTCTGGGGCAGCTCTGGAAATGGGATAGAAGAGAGTTGGGAAGGATCAGGGTAGGAAGAATGAAGGGCAGGGTGGACAGTTTCTTAGAAAAATAAGCCCAGGATGGCTACATGTCTGTCCCCTCCCTACCTTGCCCTGAGCCAATCCCTGGGTGATCCTCCAGAGTGGGGATGCCTTGGAAGGGGCTGCCCAATCGAGTCTCATGGATTCTGGGGTGGGGTGGGGGGCTCCTGGTTGGGCCTTGGTGACCCGTGAGGAGTTCTCAGGGATCTAGAGAGAGTACCGGCAGCCTCCCTCCAGCGAGGCAGCAAGCGTGCAGAAGTCACAGGGTCATCGAGCTCACGAAAGAAGCGTTTGAGCGTGTCTGTGACATCCTCCACAAAGTGCTCCCCTGGTCGGAGCTTCACTGACCGGGCATCCCGCCGGAACTCAGCCAGGAGCCGCAGGCTTCGGGCACGGGCACCCCCTTTCCGGTACACACCCTCCAGCCGGAGCCCTGAGAACAACCAACGTCTCTGCTCACCACTGCCCAAAGACTTACCGTCTCCCACCCAGCATCAGCATCTCTGGGGGAAACGGGGTAGGGAGGCCAGATGGGAGGAAATCTGTGCCTCAGTGGTCGTGCTTCTCAGGTCCCTGCTTGAGTTCATATCCTCAGAGGCCCTTCCTGACCATACCAACACAAATAGCATCATCTATCTCCTTGCCATTTTTACTTTTAAATAGCACTCTCTGAAACACATTATTTGTTTTCTTATTGTTCATCTTTCTCATTAGTCTATAAACTTCATGGGATCTTTGCTTATTCACTACCAGAACCCCAGTATCTGGCTCATGGTAGCTGCTCAATAAATATTTATTGAATGATAAAGAATGGAGATGCAGGAACCATGAGGGCCAAGTGTGAACCTCCATACTCCCCAGGGTTTATTCATTGAGCCTTGGACCTAATCCCCACTTTGAACACAAGCGAGACTGAGAAGACGGAAGAGGTCTAGTGGGCGGGGGAAGTCAATGAATGGAGAATGTCATTGGCCTCTGCATTATCTGTGGTCCACGGCTGCTAAAAGAACTAACAAATCTGTTCTGGAAGAAGTGCAGCTGGGATGCTCCTTGGAAGTGAGAATGGCCAGACTTCATCTCACCTACTTTGGTCATGTTGTAAGAAGGGACCATTCCCTGGAAAAGGATATCATGCTTGGTAAAGTGGAGGGTCAACAAGAAAGGGGGAGGCCCTCAACAAGATGGATTGACACAGTGGCTACAATGATGGCTCAAGTACAGCAAGGATCGTGGGGCTGGCAGGGACCAGGCAGTGTTTTGTTCTACTGTACAAAAGATTGCTGTGAGTCAGAGATGACTTGATGGCACCTAATAACAACAACATGGCTGGAAAGTACAACTATTTGTTAGTTCATGGATGTGCCTTTCTTTTTCTTTACTGCCCTCCTTAGTTTTCTGTGAATCTTCCTTCTAAACAGTCCAGCCTTCTAAAGGGCATTTATAGGTGAACTAGATTTTAATTGGTTCTTGCTGGAGAATAAAGCAGAGGCCAAAAACGCAAGAGGATAAGGAGTTCTGGAGACCACTTGCATAGCTGACTCTTTACGCCTAGAAAACCTCCCACTCAGAATAATTTTTCTCAGACCTTCAGAGATTTTGCTGTATGGCTTGGTGCATGCTTCATAGCGGTCCCCCTTTTATGTTCCATGATTCCATATCCCCAGCCACATTCCCAATGCCACTCTTACTCCCCATGGCAACACCCCAGTAATAGCCATCACTGAGTACTTCCTATATGCCAGGCCCTGCACCAAATGTTTTACATGCATTATTTCACTGAAGTGTCACAACCAACCTGGAAAATGAGGACTGTTAGTATCTGTTACAGATGAGGGAACTAAGGCTCAGAAAGGCAAAGCAGCTTGCCAAGAGGCATACAGTTGGTGGCAGCCGCAGTCTCTAAAGACAAAGCTCTCCCGGGCTGATTGCACCCACTGGCTGCACTTATATTCCCCATCCCCCCATTAGCTCAGTATCAGTCATTGTCCACTCACCATGTTGGGTGACAAAACTGATGCAGGCATCCACAATGATGGGGATGTCACCTCGGCTCATCTGCTGCTCTTGCAACCCCGTGCCGCCTCCACCAGCTGCCCCGCCAATGGCTGTGTTCCATGCTGAGAAGTCCAGCCGGCCTTCCCCCTGCAGATACAGGGTCCTGAGACCCCAGAGGCCTGAGTCAGAGCTACACTGAAAGGCCCACGAACACAGTAACCAGACTTCCTGGAGCTTCCAGCAGGGGGCAGCAACACCCAACCCAGACAGGTCCCCTGAACTGAGGGAAGCAATTTTGAGGAAGCAGGCAGTAGTCCAGCAGGCCCAGGTGGAGGGTATGGGTTCTAGATAGGCAGATGGGGTGCCAAGGATAGGAGAGCATTTACCTTCCTGTCTCTACCAGGACCAAATGCTCCTTCTTGTCTGGGGTGTCAGCTGCAGAGACTACACCTGGAAGGAGAATCATCAGACATTATCATCATTCATTGTGTACATCATAATCATGACTATTTATTAAATGCTTAAGGTATGTAGGTGGCAGACTGGGAGAAGCCTTACAATGTTGCATTTAATCCTGTGAGTTATATAATGATATAATCCTCATTTTACAGGTGATACACTGACATTCAGGAGCTCTGGTAGCATAGTGCCTAAGGCACTTGACTGCTAACCAGAAGGCTGGCAGTTCAAACCCATCAGCCACTCCTCGGAAGGAAGGTTGGGCAATCTACTTTCATAGTGATACTGCCTCGGCAACCCAAGGAAGGGTTGCTATGAGTTGGGGCTGGCTCGACGGCACATAACAACAACAACACTGACATTCAGAAAGGTTGAGTAACTTGCCTCTGTTTTTTTTTTTAAAAAAAAAAACTAAACCTACTATTATTGAGTTGATTCTGACTCATAGCGACCCCCACTGGGTTTCTGAGGTGGTAAATCTTTCCAGAAGTAGATTGACCAGTCTTCCTTCTGCAGAGTGGCTGGTGGGTTTGAACCTCCAACTCTCTGGTTAGCAGTCAAATGCCTTAGGCACTGTTAAACTTACTATAAAGTGGCAAATCTGGGCTCAAATGCAGGTGTCTTATCTCCAAAGCCATAAGACAGTATCCTACACTATTTCTCTGTTAGGAGAAAGAACAGTGAGGTATCAGTCCTCTCTCCCAGTTTCCAGCCCCCAGCAAACAAGTGACTCCAAATGATAATAATAACATTTATAACATGTGACATTTATTGAACACTTACAAGATGCCTCCTGCCAGGATCTGTGATAAGTGTTTTACATGTATTACACCTTATTAGAACCTCAGTGAAAGCATTTGTCTGCTAACCAAAAGTCCATGGCTTGAACCCACCAGCCACTCCACAGAAGAAAGATTGGGCCGTATGGGCTTCCATAAAGTTTTACAGCCATGGAAACCCAGTGGAGACTGCTATGAGTTGGAATTGATTTGATGGCAGTGAGTTTAGTTTTTCTGATAACCCTCTGAATAAGGTCTTATTATTGAGCCCATTTTACAGATGAGGAAACTAAGGCACAGGGAGGTTAAATAACTTGTTTAAGGGCACACAACTAGAAAGTGATGGAAACTAAAAAAAGAAAAAAAACTCACTGCCGTCAACTCAATTCCAACTCACAATGACTCTGCAGGACAGAGTAGAACTGCCCCCTAGTGTTTCCAAGGCTATAATCTTTACAGAAGCAGATTGCCACACCTTTCTCCTGTGGAGCGGCTGTTGGGTTCAAACCACTGACCTTTCAAGTTAGCAGCTGAGTGCATAATCACTGTACCACCAGGGCTCCTCAGGGAGTTAGAGATGAGATCTAAATCTAGGTAGTTTGGCTCTAGAGCTTGTCCTCAAAACCACTATGTTATGCTGTTACCCATAAAACAAAAAACAAACCAGTTGCCATTGAGTCAGTTCTGACTCACGGCAACCCCATGTGGTTCAGAACAGACTGTGCCCCATACAGGTTTCAATGACTGTGACCTTTCACGAGTAGACTGACAGGGCTTTCCTCTGAGGCACTTCTGGATGGATTTGAACCACCAACCTTTTTAGCTAGTAGCTGACTGCTTAACCATTTGCACTATCCAGGGATTCCACTGTTTCCCATAGGGGCCCCCAATAGAAGAAGGTTCCCCTATCCCCCAAGGCACCCTTCATCCCTGCCCCACCCATGCTCACTGATCTCCTGTAGCCGTCGCAGATGCACCATGTCCTCAGGGGCTGGAGGTCCTGGACCCGGCGCTGGACACAGGAAGAGGTGGTCACCACGAAGGAGGCCGAACCCTGACAGCCAGAGGCCAGGGGCCAGGGCTGTGTGGGAGGGGGACCGCAGCCATAACCGGCCTAGTCGCAGCAGCCCAGGACCCAGCAGCTGGTGACAACTCAGAGGGGAGAACCACTGTGGGGGAGATTGGGGCATGGGAGAACAGGGAGGAAGGAGGATGTGGAAGAGATAAGGGGTGTGAGGAGAGAGATGAGAGTGAGAGGGACAGGGAAAGGCAGACAAAGATATAAAGAGAAAGCAGAAGAGAGAGAAGAATGAAAATGGAGAAAGAGCCAAAGAGGAGACATAAGGAGATGGAAAAAGGGAAGAAATTCAATTCAATCCAATTTGCTCCAACCAACTCAGATAAAACTCCTGTGTGGAAGCCTTGTGCCCTTAGCTGGGGAAGGGGGTAAGGAAGAACAGGTAGCCATGATGCTGTAACTGAGGAGTCTTGATGCCCTGGAAAATCCTACCACCCAGGGGCTGGGAAAAGGCTTCCTGGAGGAGGGGGAGTTTGAGGTAGGCCTTAAAATACTGCTTCTCAAACTAAAGCAGTGAAGGACCAAGATTTCTTTCTTTCTTTTTTTTAAATTCCAGTTCATCACTGACCAATACTTTCTTTAAAAGCAATGGAAATGCATTACTAGACAAGTGAAATCCGAAAACAAAGACATAAAATACAAGCTCCCAATTTTTATTACTAGATTCAATACATAAAATAACTTTGTCAAATTGCTCCACTGCAAACAAGTCAATTCTGACTCACAGCAACCCTTTCAGACAGGTAGAACTGCCCATAGGGTTTCCAAAGCTATAAATCTTTATGGAAGCAGACTGCTTCCTCTTTCTCCAGAGGGCTGGTGGGTTCGAACCTTTTGGTTAGCAGCCAAGTGCTTTAACTGCTGTGCCACCAGGCCTCCTCAAATTGCTATAAATGACACTATAGGCTCACTCTCGATTTCTGTATTTATGTTGTCACTGACCAAAACAAAAAATCCATGGCCCAGCACTGTGTAACAGCCTTCAGACCACACTTATGATAAAAAAAAAAAAAACCTCACTGCCATCGAGTCGAATGTGACTCATAGCGACCCCCACTGGGTTTCCAAGGCTGTAAATCTCTACAGAAGTAGATCACCCCATCTTCCTACCAAGAGCAGCTTATGGGTTTGATCCACTGGCCTTCTGGTTAGCAGCCAAATGCTTTATCCACTATGCCAGCACTGATTTTAAGGATGGGCTAGACTTTTGAAAAGTGTAGATGAAAAATAGGATGAGACTTAGACCTGACTGTGAGGATCATGATAGGGCCCTGCAAGGGGACAGGGACAATGCCTTGTTGTGAGGAGTTGTAGGTGAACCAGGGAATGGGAATCCCCAGGGATGAGTGTTTTCCTACAGGAGGGGTCAGATGCTGCAGAGACGACTTGGTGAGGTCAGAGAAAGACCCTCACAGTTTGGAAACAGGAAGTCACTGGGGACCTGCAGAATAGTAGCTGGGAAGAGAATGGCCAGAGTAAAGCAGCTGCAGGGGGTTGAGGAGGAACTGCAGGCTGCCAGAGTACACAGCTTTCTGAGTTGTCAGGAAGGGAAGGAGAGTGCCAGGGTGATGAGTTGAAAGTAGAGCAGGGCTGAGGGAAGAGCTCTTTTAGGATAAGAGAGATTGTCACCATCATCATCATTACTTCAGCACTCACATACTGAGGGCTTACTTTATGCCAGGCAGTGTGGGCCTCACATCTCATTTAATTATCAGCCTTAGAGATAGGTCTTTCACACCCACTCTACAGGTTTGGAAAAGGGCTCTGGTGGTAGAGTGCCTAAGGCATTTGACTGCTAACCAGAAGGCTGGAGGTCCAAACCCATGAGCCACTCCACAGAAGGAAGACTAGGCAATCTACCTCCATAAATATTTACCACTTTGGAAACCCAATGGAGGTTACTATAAGTCACAATCGACTTGATGGCAGTGGGTTTTTCTGTTTGCTCTACAGGTATGGAAAAGCTCATGAGGTCATTAGCTGTAGGACTCAAGTTCAAATGTGTCTGACTCCAGGGTCTGAACTTTTAATTCCAGGCAGAGGGTGCAGGATGGAGAGACTGGGTTATCCAAGAATGGTGACGCTGGGATATAAGAAGGCAGCTTTGTCCCTGAGCCTGCTGGAGTGAGGGTGGCAAGAATCAGAGGCAGCTTCTTGGTGAGAAGAGGCTATGGCACAGTGAGGACTAGGACATGAACTCTGAGATAGAGGCCTGGTTTTTGGTTTTGTGCTCTATGGCCTCCTAGGTCTGTGAACTTTACCAAGCAACTTTGTAACCTCTGAGCCTCAGTTTCCTTATACATAAAATACTCATAGTCCTTACCTCTGAGAGTTATTATAAATGAGATACTCAGTGGGCAGTGCTTAACATAGGGCCTGGCACAGAATAAGCAATCAATCAGCCTTAGCTGTTATGGGAAGTGGTGCGGGTTAGGGTAGGAATAAGAGGACAGAATGGCGGCAGGTGTGGCAGAGAAATCATGAGCTGTCAGGGAAAGGTCTCAACTGCCTCACCTTGCCCAAGGCACTCGTCCAGGCCTCCAGACTGTCTGCTCCATCTGTCCCAAAATGCTGGATCCTCCCCCCAGTAAGGATGAGCTCAAAGGAAAAGGGGAACCTGAAGAGAAAATGAGGTTAGGGAGGAAAAAGCAGGACAATGAGGGGGCTGTCAGGCCGGGAATTGAGAAGGGAAAAGGAGGAGCTCAGTGAGCATAGGGGACTGTTACCTGTCGAGGTCACCTGAGTCAGTAGGCGGGGGGTTCACGCCCAGACAGACAACATCCTGGGGCTGGATGAGGCTCAAGGGTTCAGGGCTGCTTTCTGACACAAACATTTCCAGAGCTGCTCCCAGTACACACCACAGTCGAGGGGGAGCTAAGGGGATGACAGACCATCAGAGGGCAGCAGACTTCTGATCCCACTGCCATAGTTTCTTCTTGTTGTTAGGTGCCATCGAGCTGATTTCGACTCATAGTGACCCCATGTGACAGAGTACAACAGCTCCATGGGGCTGTCTAGGCGGTAGTCGTTGTGGAAACAGATGGCCAGGTCTTTCTCCCACAGAGCTGCTGGGTGGCAGCCAACATTTTGGTTAGCAGCTAAATGCTTAACATTGTACCACCAGGGCTCCCATTCCCATTTATCAGGTATTTACTCTGTGCCAAGCCCTCTGCCTATGCATGATCCCATATTATCTTCACAACTCTATAATGTGTGTACTATTTATTATCAGCTGTATTTTGTACATGGGTAAACTGAGGCTCAAAGTTTGAGTAGCTAGTCCAAGTCACATAGGTAGGAAGTAGCACAGCCGGGATTTGGACCAGATAGTCTGATTTCAAAGCACAGCCTCTTACCTACCACCCAGTACTGCCACCTGGCATGGTCCCTCCATCACCACCAGCACCCAAGCCCACTCCAGTGTGTGGCTGCACCCTCCCATCTCAGTCCTGCCCTTCTTGCCCCTTTGTAGTGCACTCACACCCATCCTAGTTTCAGCCTCTGTCTCTTCCCATCCCCTGGCTCCCCCTTACCATCCCGGCCCCTGCGAGGGGGTGGGGGTCCAGCTTTGTGGCTGACGGGAGCACAGTACAGGAAGCTGCTGTAAGTGGCAGGCACCACTACCTCATTGTACACACCAGGGGAAGGGTCTGCAGGGGAGAAGGAAAGGTGGTCAGGTGAGGCCAGTGAGAAGGGATGGCCTGAGCCTCCTGGGAAAAGAGATTGAATAGAGGAAGACAATGGGACCCAGCTCCAATGGCAGTATGGCCAGGCAGAGCCCAGTGGGGGGTGGACCCTTTACTACCCAGACTGGAAAAAACGGAGGGTTTGAAGGGAGCCTCAGAGAATGGGCCATACTGCAAGTTCCTCAGCCCCTCATGGCCTGACCACTGGAGAGCAGCAGTGTAATGCTGACCATTTCTGTGAAAGATGGGACCTGATCTATGGGGTTGACTATGTCAGGTGTGGCCAGCACTAACACCTGGAACATCCAGAACCAACCCAGGCATTGGCCATCACTGGTCATCTCATGCCATCAGGAAACAGGCCCAGAAATCTGAGGGTTGGAAAGCGCCTCAGGCCAGGCCATTGTAGTGGGTAAATGATGGAATAACTGACCCCCCACCAAGAACCCAAGGCACAAGTCAGAGCTGAGAATTCCTGGGGGTGACAGAAGGCATTCAGGGGGATTACCTGGGGGTATGAGGCTAGGGAAGCTGCCATCCAGGGCTGAAGGGGACCAGGGCTCTTCCTCACCCTCAAAGGCCTCAACACAGAGGAGCTGGGCCATGCTCTTTAACAGGTTGGGTCCTGCCACAGCTGCACACAGTGCCTGCAGGGAGGGAAGGGGCTCTGTCAGCCTCCCACCCCCACCAGAGAGCCGTGGCAATGTCTTCCAATCACCAAACCAGCCTCCATCACCCACGTCTAGGCATTCCAACCCAGAGACCACTTCCCCCTTTCCATCAGACCCAACCTGTTCCTCCTACCTGGAGAAACTGGCTGTGATCTGGATAGTGAGGATGGGGCTTCCGGAAGAGACCCAAACGGTACTTTCGGGAAATGAATTCTCCCCGAGGGCCAGGGGATGCATCTGGATGCAGCCTCTCATTTGGGGATAATGCTCCTGCCCAGAAGCGGTTGGCACGGTCATTGCCCAGGACAATGAACAACTGCAGGATGATAAGGGGCAAAGGCAGGTGACAGGAACTCAAGAGTCCCCAGGCATTCCACTCCCCACCTGCCCTGGCCCCTGTGCAAGGCTGGAGCTAGGCCTTTTCTTGGATACTCCTCTTCATCCATCCCACCTTCCCTCTCTTCACCCCCTCACCTGCACTATCTCATTACTCCAGACACTTGTATCCAGCTTCAGGCTCTGCACCTTAGAGATCCCAGAACCCAAGGCTCGGTGCTGACCTGTCAGGGGGTGATGGGTATGTGCCATGGAGACCCTGGGCCCTCCTACCCCAGTCCCACTCCTGTTCCCCAATTCAGCTTGAGACCTCAGGCCTCACCTGCACATTGCTTGCAGATGACCACCCCCAGGTTGATGGCAGCCCAGTCTGGCTGGGAAGCCCCACAGTCTGCACAGTGCCGATTTGCCCGGTTGGACCAGATCTTCTCAGCCACCTCGTAGTCAGACAGGGTCTCAGTTACTGCTTCCTGCAGAGCGGCCGCCCAGCTCTGCCGAGCCCCCCCAGACTCGGCTGTGAAGCTGAGGGGTGGACAGCCAGTTCGTGGGCATGGACCCCCTCCCCCACTGTCTAATCTACTGGCCATTCCTGCAAAGCCACCATAGGCCACATCTTGGCCAACCCAGACCCTCCTGATACTCCTGTCCCTACGCTCCCATCAGTTTATGCCCACTGACATCCCACTAAGGAGGCCTCTGGTGCTCTGCACCCTTTGCCTCCCCCAAAAGTCTTTCTCCCAGCTATGCCTCTCGCCAGCCTGGGCCCCACCTGAAGCAGCGATGGGGTGTGAGCAGGTCGAAGCTGCGACTCTTGGTCTCCCGGACACTGCAGCCCTGCAGCTCAATGAAGCAGATCCCAATGCCCAGAGAGAAAGCCTGGTGGGGTAGGCACAGTGAGAAACCAGAACAGCTGCTAGCCAGGCCCCATGGTCCTGGTCCAACCCTCCTCACCTGCTCACTCTTGAACAGTGCCAGCTCTCCAGGGCTCAAGGCAGCAAACACCTTGGCCTTGTGTCCACGCAGCTCCAGCATGCCTGTGCGGAGGGGTCGGGGTGGCTGGGGGGGCCGGGGGTGGCCCAGAAGGCGCTGCTCCTTTAGGCAGGATTGTATCGTGTTGCACCATGTGTCCCGCTGAGCTGGTGGGGTGTGGGGGCAGGTCAGTGGGCTGTGTACTCACACCCCTCCCTCCCTCCTGCCCTGACCCAGAGGCCCTGGCCCTCACCCTCACTTTCTGTGCGGAATACAAACACCCTCTGGCCGGTGATGACCTGAAACTTGTTGTCCTTGTTGCTTCGAGTCATCTCAATGGCAGTCAAGGGGATTATGCCCTTGGGGAAGGGGTCCTGGAGGAAGAGCCCAAAGATCCATGGGGCCAGGAAATGAGCCATGTGCACTGATTTCTGGGTCCAGCACCAACTTTCATGAGCTCAGCTCTCAAATCCACAAGCAGTAGGTACAGTCAGATAATCTAGCTACTTTAAATGCTGACATCAGCCATGAGGCAACACCCCCACCATGAGCTTTCCTCTTTCCATCCTGAGCTCTCAGCCCTCCCTCTTCCTCTTCCTCGTCTCCATCCTTGACCCTACCTTGTCACTGCCAAAGTACATCAGACTCCTCCCGTTGAACTGCACAAAGCGTCTCTGGAAGACGTAGTTTCTGAAAAAGAGAAGGACTGAGGATCAGTGAGCGTTGGGGGTTGCATTCTGGGGCTGCTCATAGGGTCTGGAAGCATTTGGGACTCACTGCCCCTACCCCACTGCCTCTCAGCCTCCCTCTCCTCCCTTTTCTTCCAAGCAACCCCACCCCTGAGGGGAGAGCTTGTCCAGCCAGTTACTGAGCAGGGGCATGGGGGGGTCTGCTGTGGAGGAGTAGCTGGCATAGGGTGAAATGAGGTCATCACTGGTCTCCTCCACATCCAGGGTGGGCATCAAGAGGGTGGAGTCCCCAGGCAGCTCAAGGCTGGCATAGCCGACATCCTCCCGTGACTCCAGATCCTGCCTGCTGAGCCTTGTGAGGGCCAAGAAAGGGAGAGACAGACATGAGACGACCCCTAGCACTCTGGACACACTCTTTGTAACTTCTCCTCCCCTTCATGCAGCACCCAGGAGAATGTCTGGCAGGTAATGGACATGTTTTTCAGAGAAGGGAATAGGGAGGTTGGGAACCCAAAAGATTAACATGGAGCTTTTTCTCTGAGCATATTTAGATATTCTACTAGGAAAATTTCAGGCCCCCTCCTCTGCCATTAAGGAGCTCTGGTAGTATACTAGGTAAGGCATTTGGCTGCTAATCAGAAGGTCAGCAGTTCAAACCCACCAGCTGCTCTGTAGGAGGAAGATGAGGCAATCTACTTCTGTAAAGATTTACAGCCTTGGAAACCCAATGGGGATCACTATGAGTTGGAATTGACTCAATGGCAGTGGGTTTTGGGTCCTCTGCCATTAGTGTTATTTGGGTGGAAAGGTTGGGAAGGGTTGTGTGGATGGGTCTCTCTCTGTCATGGTTGCCCATTTCCATTCAATAAGTCTTATTGGTCCTTCCTTCACAAATTCCTTGGCCTTTTCTTCCTGGGCCAAACCCTGTCAGAGTGCACTGTAGTGATACACATTGCTTAACTGCTCACCTACTTCCATTCTTGCTTTCTCCCATAATCCATTCTCCCAGTGACTGCAGTGCTCTTTTTAAAACACAAATGTGATCACTTCTCCTTGCATGAAGTCTTCCAACAACTCTCTTTGCACTTAGAATAAAACCAAATTCCTTACCATGGACTATAAGGCCATGCACAATGAGACCCATGGCCACTCCACTGACTTCACTGGGTGCCACCCTCATCCTTACTTATTACAGTCCAGCCACATTCTCTTTCCTGTTTGAGCACACTGTTCCCTCTGTCTAGAACATGCTTTTCTGAGGGGCTTTGCTCATCTGTTGGGTCTTTACTTATGTCATCTGTTCAGAAAGACCTTTCTTAACCATGCTGAGTAAATTCCCCTATTATTTTCTATACTTTCCAGTGGCTCTCAGCCTTGGCAGTACAAAGTCACCTGGATGGGAAACTTAAAGATGTACTGCTTTATGGCCCCATCTCAGACCACTTAAGTTTGAAACTCTAGGGATGGGGGCCAAGCATCTGTATTTTTTTAAGGTACCCAGGTTGTGGCACAGCTAAGGTTAAGAACCACTAATCTACCCTATTTGTTTCCTACTTCACTGAGTAATTCCTACTTCATTGAAGCAATCAAGAGGAGAACGCGTGCAGACACCCAGCACCACATTTACCTGATTTCACCACACACTCTGCCTTCCTCCTATGACTAAAAACACTCCTGCCTAAAGCCAGTCCCTCCTTTCATGTACTTGATTCTATTCTCCCTCACCTACACAGGGACAGACACTGCTCTAGGATTTCTCCTCTCTCTTACATCAGCTAAATTTCCCTCTCTACTGAACCATTCCTATTCACCAACAAACATGCACAACATTCCAGCCTACAAAAAAAAACACATTTTTCTCAACTCCACTTCCATGATCAATTATCATCTCAATTCTCTGCTCTTCTTTGCAGAAAAACTCAAAAAACAATGTCTTCATTTTCTGTTTCCAACACTTTTTCTTCTATTCTCTCTTAAGCCCACTCCATCCAGACTGTAACCCCCACCACTCCACTGAGACTGCCTTTGTCAAGGTCCCCATCGATCTCCATGTTCCCAATTCCAGAAGTCACTTCTCAGTCCTCTCACACTTGACCTTTCAGCATTATTTGATCTCTGCCTCCTCCTCATATACTTTCTTCACTTGGTTCCTACGATACCACATTCTCCTGGTCTTCCTTCTATTTCACCTACCCCTTCTTTTCAGTCTGTTTTGCTGAAACAGTCTGTTTCTTTCTCTTCTCCCAAACTTTTACTTTTTTTCCCCAGAGTAAAAAAATATCTCCCAAATTTCTTGATAGTTGAGTACACTAGGGCTCTGATACTGGTTTCCTCTCTATCTATACTCATGCCGATATATAACCATCCATATGCTGACAACTCAAATTTAGATCTCCGGCTCAGCCCTCTCACCCAAACTCCAGATATATAGCCAGTAGTCTATTTGTCATCTCTTCTTGGATGTATAATATATACTTCAAATCAGCATGTCCAAAAACAAACTCCTGCTCCCACCTCTACTGTATGCAGAGTCTTAGCCTCCCAGGACATGGAAACTCCATGAGCTTTCTTTTCATTTGTTTATTTATTTGTTTTTATTTTGTTTAATTATTTATTTTATTTTAAGAGCTTGTTTTACATTCAATGTTACGTGTACATTTAGTTTCACTCCGCATTTACCATGTCCAACCCTAACCCAGTCTCCTCCTCTCCCTAGCCTGTAACCTTTCCCTCCATGAGCTTTCAATTGCTCAAACTGTCCGACAGAAGTCAATGCCAGCAACATGTATAATTTAAGATTTTCAAGTAGCCACATTAAGCAAAATAAAAAGAAACAGGTTAAGTGAATTTAACTATATGTTTTATTTAATCCAATACACTTACTCGTCACTTAGTGACTATCTCATTATCTGACATTTCATATTCATGACAATAGTTAAAAATCTACTATCTGACTATTCTGCACATTAACAACGTCTGGCAGCAACGAATACTGAGATGTGAAGTGAGAGTAATGCTGACTGATGGTTAAGGTTATGTGTGAACTTGGCTGGGCCATGATTCTCAGTGGTCTGGCAGTTATGTAATGATGTAATGTGGCAGTTATACAATGACGTAGTCATCATCCACTTTGCTATCTGATGTGCTCATCACACATTTTCATGTAATGCTGATTTCTGCATAATGACCTCATCTTTGAAACCTAAGCAAGTCAATAAATGAGCAGTGGGTGTTCTCTCAAATAATGACATTTCAGTAAGCAATCAATGTAAAAATGAAGATACTTTACATTGCTTTTTCATACTAAGCCTTTGAAATCTAGTGTATATTTCATACTTACAGCACATCTCAGTTCAGACTAGGCACATTGCACATGCTCAGTAGTCACATGTGGCCAGTGGCTGCTCCCCTGGACAACACAGGCAGACTAAAACTTTTGAAGTCATTCTTGACTGCTCTTTTTTCTCATACACCCCACATGCAATTTGACAGTTGACCTTCAAAATATAACCAAAACCCAACCACTTCTCACCACCTACACTGCAATCACTCTAGTCTGAGACCTCTCCCTTGGTCTCGCACCTCCTAACTGGTTTCTCTGCTACTTCTTTTGTCCCCAACAGACTATTCCCAACACAGCAATCAGAGGGATCCTTTTAAAATCTAAGTCAAAAACCCTCTAATGGCAAACATCCCTACCAGGTCCCACTTGATATGGTCCCCTTTTTCCTTACTAATGTTGTCATGTCGTACCACCCTCTTTCCCACTCTGCCCCAGCCACAATGGCCTTCTCACTGCTCCTGGATCCTCTATGCATGTGCCCTTCTTAAAGCCTCTGTTCTGATCATTCCTCCTGCTTGAAACATTCTTCCCCCAGATATCTTCATAGTAACTCCCACACCTCCTTCAACTTTTTGCTCAAATGTCATCCTTCTTGATGCTCTCACGACTCTAATGAAAAACTGCAGTCCTGCTGCCCCTTACCCTGTACTATTTTTCCCATGTTAACATCTTTTAACATACCATGTGACTGGTTTATTGTTTGTTAATTGGCAATCTCCCATAATGGCAAGGATTTCTGTCTAATTCATTGATCTATCCCAAGCATCTACAACAATATCTGATGTGTAATATGTGCTCAATAAATATTTGTTGGATGAAAGGATGAAAAGCATTTCTCCCAAGTTTTAATTATATATCCATTTGTTTGCTAACTTGTTTTATTTCCTCTCTGCCTTTCTGAGTCACAGGCTGTCCAAGGACAGGGCTATGTATCTTCAGTATCCTGTATCTTCAGTGGACACACCATGCACATTTGATGAATAATTGGATACATGGCTGCCGCCAGCTCAACCACTCCCCAAGCTTTCTTTCTCCCTTCCATCACCACCCTACTGAGCACTCACCTATGTTCAGCCCTGTCCTGACAGACACCTCTGCTGTCTCTTCTATCAGATGGCCCTGGGACTCCCACAGGCTGGACACCGTAGTACAGGCAACCGGGGTCCATGATGTGCACTAGTTGGGGAGCAGTGAGGGAGACAGAGGGAAGAGGAGTCAGGTTTGGTCCCCAAGAGTACTCTCCCCCAGCCCCTGATACCACCACCTACCTGTACCCGTTGTGGGCCTGAGGGCAGGTGTTGGGGCAGCTTTCTGGGAGCTGTCAGGGGTTCTGAGGGGAAAGGCCTATTGATTATCAAGGGAGAGAGGAGGAAGGACAAACCCTCATGCCTTGTTCCTCCTACTCCCTCACCACCCCACCCAGCCTGTTCCCAGTCCAGTATTGCATCCCCAGAAAGCCAACCCTACTCACATGTCCTGAGCTGCCTGTGACCTGCCTCTTAAGTCCAGGCCGAAGTAGATGGCATTGGACATCATCTCCATAGTATTCAAGGCTGATGGCTGCTCAGAGGAGGAAGTGGGGAGAGGCGGGGACCGTGGACTAGATTCTGGGATCCTGGAAACTTCTGGTCCCTGAAGAGCTAGGTTTGGCCCAGTTCTCTGGGTGGTGGCAGGACCACTGAGCCCACCAAACACTGTCCTGGGCTTGGGCACAGGCTTGAAGGTCTGGGCTTGGGGGTCCGGAGTGGAGGATGGCTCCATGGCACTATCTGATTGGGGATCCGGGGAGCCCTCTACAGCACCTGCCTGCAGCAGGCGCAGAATGCGTTTCCGGTGCCCTGTGGCACTGATGCCCAACTGCCTCAGCTCCTCGTGGCCCAGGCCCCAGGCTGCACCCACTGTAGCCAGGCCATGCTGCCGGAACGTGTCTGCATACTGCTCCAGGTGCACCGTGGCCAGCCACACAGCGATGTCCAGGTCCTGAGGGGCAGCCATGGGGGCTCAGGCCATTGCTGGGGGAAGGGGCAGGGGGAAGGGAGGGCTCAGGCTGAGAGTCCCCCTCCCTGCCCCAAAGTCTAAGGCTGGACAAGGGGTGCCAGACTTCAATATTCCTCCAATCAAAAATGCCCAAAGCCTGAGATATGGAGGCAGAGCCATCCCAGAACACAAGAAAAGGTTCTTGTAGGAGAATCCTTTCATTTGCAGATCAGGGAAGTGAGGGCCAGAGAGGGAACTGGTCTTGTACCAGGTTCACAGCAAGGCAGCAGTAGTCTTGGCTCCCAGGCTCCTGTCCCACCCTGAGTCTGGGTCAAAGCTCCACCCCTGCATTGCTGCACACCCAACTGAGGTAAGCATGGGACAAGATGCTAGAATGTGCGTGCGTGTGTGTGTGTGGTGTGTGTGTGTGTGTGTGTGTGAAAGAACAGGCCAGCAAGTTGGTGGGAGGAGGGGGCTATGATGTGTCCTGATCCAGATGTGGCATACTTGTGAAGAGAGGCAGTCTAGGTAGGAGGAAGGAGATGCACACCCCATTCCCACTGGCTTCCAGAGCTGAGATGCAGGCTTGGCCATCCTAATCCTGCTGTTTCCAGTTCCTCCTCCCCTTCCACCTATTGTCTCTGCTCAGACTTCCTTCCTGTCCCTCCAGCCCTGGCCGCCCCCACATCCTGCCTGCCCTGGTCAGGCTAACCAGAGAGCCCTAGACAGTCCCAATATGTGGAGTCTGGACCCTAGGCCAAGGGCAGCTGGAGATAGGGATGGGGGGAGAACTAGGCCAGAGTGATGCTTGGGGTGCTCTGTAGTCTTTGGTTCTTCCCCACTCTTACACCCATGGTGGCATGTACATGTGCACACATAGGAGTGCATACCCTGTGAAATGCCATGCCCTCATCTCTGCTTTGTCTGCATCTTCCTCCTTTCTGCCATGCTCTGGGCTCAGCTCCCTGGGGCTCTGGCCCACTTTACCCACCTCCCCCTGTCTATTCCCTGGACCCATCTCTGACTCTGTTGCCCCTGAATTTTGTCTCTGCCCTGTCCCTATCTCCATCCCACTCCTCTGTCTCTACCTCTGAATCCATCTTTGTCCATCTACCTGTCTCTCTCTGCTCTCTGTTTTGCTCTGTGCGGTTAAGCCTGTCCTTGCCTCAGTTTCCAATTCTAACTCCATTTTTATAGGTGTATTCGCGTCTCTGGTCACATCTATACGATCTGATTCTGGACGTCTTTGATTCCTCGGTTCGGCCTACATGGCTTTGTAACCTGTTTAATCTCAAATTCGGTCCCTGACCAGGATTCCCTCTCCGTCCCAGCCTCGGCCCTGGCCTCTCTCCGCCTCGCACCGCCTGGGCACCATCTCCAAGCCATGGCCGGGAGCTGAGGGGTGCTGATCCTTGGGCCCTGACTCAGAGCCCAGTTTCCCGGTGACTCAAGGCCGGCCTGCGGGCACGGGACTGGGGACCTGGAGGTTCTCGCTCACAGGAGTGCGGGGGCGGGCACCGCGGGCTCCGCGAGGGAGGGGTGAGGAGGGAGGGGGCAGAGCCGGACAACCGGAGCGAGGGGCGGGTCGCGGCGGGAGGGGGAAGGGCCGCCGGCAAGGATGGGGCCGGGGAGCCCACGAGAGCCCTCAGAGTGGTGATGGGGAGGAGTCTGGGAAGCCGAAACCCGCGGGGCGCAGGGGTCCTCACCTCACTTCGGGGCCGTCGTCCGCAGCCTGGTGCTCGCCGCGCGGTCCGAGGCTCTGGGTCCCGCGGCGCCGGCCCCGCCTCCCCTCAGCCCTCCCCCGGCCGGGCCCCGCCCCCCCCCCCGGCCGGTTCCCCCCGCGGGGCCCCGGCCACTCCTTGTGCAAGCGCCGGCCTTCAAAAAGTCTGAGCTCCTTACCCAATCGCCGCGCTTATCTCTGCGCCGGCCTGGCTCTGCCGGATTCGAGCAGAGAAAGGGACTGGACCAGGCTTGGGGCAAAGGCAACACTACAGAGAGAGAGAGAGAGAGGGAGAGACAAAGAGACAGAGACAAGAATGGACGTAGGGACAGGCACAATTCGAGAAAGGGAGAGCGCTTTGAAGGACGACTTTGCATCCCTCTGTCTCTCTCATCCCCTCCCAGTCTTGTCAAGGGAAAGGAGAGGGTGGCCTAAATGCCCAGGTCACCTTTCCCATGCCCAGCAGGATACCTGTACTCTACCACCAGTTTAAGGGGGGAGGAAGTTGGGGATACTGAAGTCAGGTAGCCACTGCCTTCCAAGCCCGGGGGGCCCCTTTCAGGAACCCAGAGAACTGACCAGGGGGATCCCCTCTCTGCTTCTGTTTGAGTAAGGGCCCAGGCTAGGTTTTCGTCCCAGGGATGAAAGTCAGCAAGGCAACATCCTCGCTCCCTGTTTGGGGGTGTGGCTGGTGCCCTTCAAGCACAGTGACCAAGAGGCTTTTTCATCCTTGAAAGAAGGTATCTCCACTCTCCCAACCAAAAATTGCAAAGGACTGGGGAGGCCTGAGGAGAATGGTTCCCTTCCCCTCCTCCCTATTTTGCCAGGGCGCCACAGCCCTGGAGCCAGTCCCCCAGGCCCTAAGGCACTTCCCCCTCAGAGCTGGCCGACTTAGAGCAGTGTGTGGTGTTGGGGGTGGGGGGGTCGTTGGCCTGCTTTGTTTTCCTGTTTGTATGAGAGGAAGTAGGCTGTGAGTCAGCAGACACAGGAACTGTCAGTAGCTAAGGGAAGACCCCTGCCTCAGGGGAAGGAGAGGGGAGTGTGGGGAAGTGGTTCCCACCTCTCTCAGCTCCCAGGTTGGAAGAGGGACTGTCATCTTCAGCCTTCTGAGCCCACTTCCCCAGGGCCTTCCTTTGGAGAAAGAGAATGATGATAACATTTAATTATTTAAATAGCCATAATAATGGCTACCAATTATTGAGCACTAACTGTGTTTCTGGCCCTACACAAATATCCTTTTGCAAACTTCAATTAATCCTCCCAACAACTCTGTAAAATAAGGAACTATATCACCTCGATTTTACAGATAAAGAGACACAGCATTAAATAATTTGCTCAAGGCCCTGGAACTAGAAAATTGTCAACTTTCTAAGCGCATACATTCTTATGTATTGGGCTCACCATACAGTCCTAGACAGAACCCCCACACTTCGTGCCCAGGGAGGAGTGTCCTGTCCTTTTCTTGGGTGGACAACTGTAGTGGCCAGGAGAAAGCTCATAGACCTCCAACCATAAGGAGTGAAACAAACCAAGGGGCCCAGATGCTCCTCTCAGAAATCCATCAGCTCCTGCACCAACGCCCCTCCTCTAAGGCCACTGGGCTCCCAGCCAGTGACCAAGGGCAGCAGAGCTCCTAAGGCAGGCCCATTCCTGGGAGATAATGAACTCCTCTGACAGCTGCCTTTGGCTCAGGAATTCCCCTCAAGGTCTTGCTGAACTTTCCTTCAACTGTGTGGAGACTGGGATGCTTGTCTAGGATGCTTCTTTCGGGCTTCATTCCTCAGGGTCAGACTTGCACTGCCTTCTGAAGGCTCTCCCAGGCCCTGGCTCCCTCCCCATTGTCTCTCATAGGTATACAAGTTGCCACAAAGTCTACTCATACTCATGGTGACCCCACGTGTGTCAGAGTAGAACTGAGTTTTACAGAGTTTTCAATAGCTGCCTTGTTGGAAGTAGGTTGCTAGGCCTTTCTTCCAAGGTGCTTCTGGGTGGACTTGAACCTCCAGCTTTTTAGTTAGTGGTCAAGTGCTTAAGCATTTGCATCACCTGGGGACTCCCTCATAGGCATATCCTCTAGTAAAATTCATGCACTTTTAATCCTGTCTTGACCTTTGCTCCTTGGAGGACTCAGACTAACAAAGCAACAGAGGGGAATTTGGGTACAGAGAGCCCACAAGGATAGTGCTGTGGGGTTGCTGCTCAGGGGCTAGACACAAGAGTTCTTAACCTTTTTTGTGCCATGTTTCCCTTTGACAATTTGGTAAAGCCTATGGACGCCATCTCAGAATAATACTTTAAAATGCCAAAAATAAAATATATAAGATTGCAAAGAAAATCAATTATCTTTCAATGCAATTATAAACATATTTTATGTGCAAAATAGCAACATGTGTGCTTCTTTACTAATCTTTATATAACAAAATCTAGAGATAGATCAATATTTCATATAATTTTGAAATAGTGATGAGAATAAATGACATTTTAAAACATCTGTAATATTGTAATATGATATGAAAATATGTGTAATTTCTATTGATGACAAAGGCATGGTTATAGCTAATATATCTGGTTTGTTGCTGTAGTCATAATTGAACTCACTCAAAACTCACTGCCGTTGAGTCAATTGTGACTCATAGTGACCCCTCCTTGGGTTTCTAAGGTGGTATCTCTATGGAAGTACATTGCCCACTGTTCCTTCTGTGGAGGGGCTGGTGGGTTTGAACAGCCAGCCTTCTGGTTAGCAGTCCGATGCCTTAGGCACTATGCCACCAGAGCTCCTAGTCATAATTGAAGAATATGCTAAGTGTCAGGTTAATGAAAATAATGTAATCCCCCTACCCACCCAATTAATATTAGTTTCTCATGGCTGCTGTAATGAAGTACCACAGATTTAGTGGCTTAAAACAACAGAAATTTATTTTCCCATGGTTTAGGATGCCTTGTTGTTGTTAGGTGCTGGCGAACCAAATCTGACTCACAGTGACCTTATGTGAAACAGAATGAAACATTACCTGGTCCTGTGCCATTCTCACAATGGTTGCTGTGTTTGAGCACATTGTTGCAGCCACTGTGTCAATCCATCTTATTGAGGGGCTTCCTCTTTTTCATTGACCCTCTACTTTACCAAGCAGGATGTACTTCTCCAGGGACTGGTCCCTTCTGACAACACGACCAAAGCAAGTGAGACAAAGTCTCACCATCCTCGCTTCTAAGGAGCATTCTGGTTGTACTTCCTCCAACACAGATTTGTTCCTTCTCCTGGCAGTCCATGGTATATCCAATATTCTTCACCAACACGAAAATTTAAGACTTTAATTATTCTTCAGTCTTTCTTATTCATTGTCCAGCTCTTGCATGCATATAAGGTCTTTGAAAATACTATAGCTTGGTCCAGCCTTACCTTAGTTCTCAAAGTGACATCTTTGTCCTTTAAAACATTTTACAGAGGTCTTTTGCAGTTGATTTGCCTGATACAATAAGGAGTTCTGATGGTGTAGTGGTTAAGGCACTTGGCTGCTAACTAAAAGGTCAGCAGTTCCAAGCCACCAGCTGCTCTGCAGAAGAAAGATGGGGCAGTCTGCTTCCATAAGGATTTATAGCCTTGGAAACCCAGTGGGGGTCGCTATGAGTCAGAATTGACTCAATGGCAG